GATTTATGTATATGTGAGATTACTGTATCAAGTCCATTAAAATTGGCGTATAGTTTTCAGCTTATCTTATTTGCTTGTGAAATGCTTGGACTCTCGATTTGGTTCGGTCAAGGAAAGTACGCTTTAGCCAAATTGTTTTGGCAGCTTAATCCATATTGGCAGCTCTAAGGTAAAGAGGAGTTACTTGTAATCCCCAAGTATCGATCTATCCGCAAGCTGCAATTTCCATTTCTAACTTTCGCATGTCCGATGGCCGTAAAGCAAATCAAAGTTGCAATTGAAAGTTTGCCTCTTGGCGGCGAGACAACAATTAAGCGGCTCCATGGGCTGAATAAATTTGCATAATTTCTCAACTTGTTGAGGCGCAAGTCATAACTCGAAGTCATGTCCTGACATCTCACCCTGACATTTGCGTGCGCCCGAGTGCATTTCGAAAATTGCGAAATTCCCCCAAACATTTGGGGCAGATCCTGAAGATGGGGCATGTTCAGCTGCGTGTGTCACTTAGCTGTTGTGTTGTCATTCGTTCGCCGTTTTGCAGCAAATCAAGTGGAAGCATCAGCGAAATGTTTGCATGTCCCATGGGGCTGTATGTCCTCTATAAGGACTCGTATTGCGAGTGTGCGTGAGCACTGCATTGACGTCAAGCCTTAATTATTTAATAGCCAGGAGTTGCGGTCTGCCAGGTGGAACAAATCGATGGACTCGTCCATACGAAAAAAGCTTAATTGAACACTCTGGGGAGAATGGACGGGATTTTTTGTGCACGGTTTCGCATGTATTCCCCCTCTTCATTTGAATAAAATTATACGATGGATGGTTCAATTGAATGCTTAAAATAACTCGTTATAACGCGTTATGCAATAAAAATGGTTTAATTATAGGAAAATTCCTTTCAATACGTTTTATGTGCACTAAATTGCAATTTAACTGGAATTTATTCTTTGCCTTGTTATATTAAAGCTAAATGAATTTATGAAAGTTTACCAACGACACATTTAATAAACACCTCAACTTTGGCCAGAGTAGATGGCCCACCTCAATGTAATCGCTCTGACTTTTGCTGGCATGCCTGGCCATTATAAATAGCCATTAACCTTTGTGGGAAACAATTTAATTTTAACCTGTATGCCATTTGCAGCAATTAGCTCATTCCGCACGAAAGCCAAACGAAATTTAATTAAATATTTTAGCAATTGGTCTGGCCATTGTGCCAATTTGCCCGCCAATGGGGCGTATACGCACTAACTTTATATGCGTGTATATTTGTTATTTGGTCTAGATGCATTATTCAATACGTTCGAAGCAGCCGAGGGAAATGGTGCGAATAGCGTGAAATACAAACTCGAGAAAGTCCATTGCCAGGCGGGCAGTATTTTCAATCAATTTCCAAAGCACTTGTAGCATTTAAGATAACCAACTGGTCGACTTCACGAGTGTTTGTTTGTCCCCCAAGTGGGTGTGAGTATCTGTGTGTGCGCGAGTGTCCGTGTGTTTGTGTTTGCGAGTCGAAAGTCAAATCAGCCCATTTATCAAGTCCTGGAAACCCTTAGTCGGCCAATATTGCCACGCAGCTCAGTAGCTCTTTGTGCTCATTTTTCAAGCCGGCTGGCGGATGGAAAGTTTCCCTCTGCCATAAAACATATATTAAATATATATATAATATGGAATTTCAGTCACTTGTTTTTGCCAATTTTCCAAATGCGCATTTCAATTGAGCATTGCCCGTAAGTTTTCATTTTCAACCAGAAAAAACAGAAACAACATTTACACAAAAATACAAAGAAAAATAACATTCCACTGTTCGGGGGCAAGAGCCGGAAAAGTTTTCTTTGGGTTCGAGATTCCATGGAAAAATCAGCTAAATAAGTTTCGCAGTAATAAAGTAAGTTGATAACGAGCAGAGTCTGCCGAACATGTGGTTCGCTACAAGTGCTAAAATAAGGCACAATATTTAAAGATCTTTTTGTCAAATATTCATAGGGTATTCTGAACTTGGACCTCAAGTTGATATCCATTAGGGCATTAAGGAGACCATAATTTGATATAGCAATTGATATAATATATGTCTTTTAACGTTCTTATCTTTGGCATTGCTTGTTCCGAAATGTTCTTATTTTTCCTGAATTATTAATGCCACTTTGCTCACTTTGCATAATGAGAAGTTCAACATTGTTATCATCATAAGTGAGTGCTCTCAAATTAGGGCTAAAAATGTCGCATGTCTTGCCAAATTTTTAATACGTATACATTCTAAGAACGTGTAGAAAAAGTCGCTGCAAAAGTCTGGGAGAATAAAAGGAAGAGCGGGCATGTTTTGTTGGCTTGGCCATGGCCTAAACCACCACCCACCGAAAAGTCGCCCGCTGACGGCAATTACAGGCCATGTTTTCGGTGCTTTGTTACTGTCTTACTGTTTTCATGTCATATAACAACGTTGTGCAATAAATCAAAAGTTGCCGACTGGAAATTATTGTTTATGCTGCCTATACTTAGCATACCATACTTAAATGCAGGGATTGGTGGCTAATTTATTTATTCCGCGCCCCACACAAAACCTCACAAAACCAGCCAACACTTTGCCAAACAACGCCAACGTATGACAATGAACAATAAGCGCCAACAGCAAAGGAAACACACCATAACTATAAAATATTGTGACGTGCGCCACTCGACTGTGTGAAATGGAGCACAAGGCCAACCAGTCAAACAATGGCTGACAAAGGAGGCCGAGACCGTCAGCAAATAGTGGCAGTCTTCAGTTTTCGGTTCCAGTGCTCCATTCTTGGATGTGCTCGCTTCTCGGAGGTGGCGCCACAATGCAGGACTCGCACTCCCCAGGACATGCAGCACTGCCGATGGCCATACGCGTATGCGGGTATCCATAAGAAGATTGTCCTTATTCCCCAAAAGGGTTATTGTGTTCTAGGAAACTTGCAGCTGCACAGGAAAACTACTTAAAAAGTAACAGAAGAGCGTAATGAATACTTTCTAGCCTACATTTTCGGTCGGTGAAAATGCAAGGTAAGTTTTGAACCTCAAATATGAAGTGAATAGAATAGATTTAAGCATATTGTCTTCCGATTTTGGCAGGTGGCGCATCTGGAAAACGCCTGGCTCCATGTCTGAGGTGCGCCCATCCTGGCTGTCTGGGTGCATTCAATCCACACACAAGATGGGAGAATGGGAATCCCCCTGACATGTTGGTCACATGTCAAGCGCTTCGCTTTTTCCGCCCTCTTTCATGGAAAACCTTCAGGCAGGAGGAAAAGTGGGAGCAGCAGCAGGCATGTGGCGATGTGCCATCCTGCCAGATTGACATTGCCTGTTCTCCACAATGGATCGAAGTGCTGGTGTGCGGGGATTGCATAGTAGTCCTTGCACCTGATCGGAATTTTCCGCCCTCCGCGTTCGTCGATGTGCTCAATGTGGAAATGTTGAGATTCCCAATCAAAGTTATCACCAATCGAGGAACATATCTGTGACACGGGCTTAGCTTCCGGCAATCGAATAGCAACATTTGCTGGATACCTCTCAGATGATTACCAAGAGTGGGTAAATATTTTGCGACCTGAAAGGCCATTAAGCATATGACTGCATACATCAGTCTGTGTGCACATTTCACTCGAATGCATCTCATGTGTCACATAAGGAATCTGTGGCAAAACTGTGAAAACCTCGCTTGTCAGCGCCATCACTCATCCTTTTATGATACTCTTCAAAGGACACTAATTAAGTCTTTTCTAAAGACGTGCAGCTCGGACTATTTTTTGCCAGGATTGTGCGAGCATCTGTTTTTCAACCAAATGATGAAAATCTACTTATGTAATTTAAATTTGGATTATCTAACATTCATTTTATTGGCTTGAGGCTTGATTTGGAAACATTTAAACTCCTAAATCCTAAGCAAGTTATTAAAGGGGTTCTGTGAATCAGGCGATTTCCATAATTGATCATAATACTGCCATACTTAAAAAGCAATTTACAAATTTAACTTTTCCATTGCATTTTCAGGGCATTGACCACATCGCTTTGCTTCCACGCTTCAGTTTTCCTTGTTCTATTAGGAGCTTGTCGCTCGGCTGGTGGAAAATGCATGCATTTGACGCGTTTGCTTAGCTGATTGCGGTCCTTGTGTCCTGCGGCGCGGAAAAGTGGAGGATCGGGGGACGGGAGGGGACAACACGCGTACCCATATCTCTTCGCCACACGCACAGCAGGAAAGTCCACTGAAGAGAGTACATGGCACAACAAAAAGCGAATTATACTTTCATATTAAACGACGTATGAGTAATCCCTCGTTCGTGGAGGGTCAGCAGGGCATGCAGGACATGCAGGACATGGATATGCCATCGCAACAGCTCCTTCACCCGCGTTATACTCACCATCCCCCCACAATTCCCATTTATTTATAGAGTTCTCTAGAGTCGAGAGCTAATGTCGCTGCCATCGCTTGCAGATTGACAGGAAGCGGAAAAGGCCAAATCGAAATTTCCCAAATCGGGATGTAGGAGATATCGGGGTAGGTGCGGGCGGAAATCTTTTAAATATTCATGCTTATAAATAGAGGAAGGAAATTACACTTACGTTTAGCATTCGATTTACAAAGCAGTGGCACTGAACTCGAATTAAAATATCATTGCGGCAGTAAAGTAGAAGAACTCAAGCAAAATGAAATTTTCCAAGGAACGTTTCGGGGCAAAATATAAATGTAATTAATTTGAAAGCTGTATTACGAAATTCATAATATGCTACAGATGTACATGCAATTCATATCAGCATTTCTTAATTAAGCTCGAGTGTCGAAAATTGTATTTGAGTGGTGGCATGAGCTGGATTCGAAAGATGTGTTTGGTTTATGGACGAAGACATGGCTTTGGTTTGGCTAGTAGACGGCACAGAGACAATGCAAGGCACTTAGTTAAAGGAGAGTGTGTGTGGTGTTTAAAATTAATTGGGTACTTATGGAGCAATGCATATGGATGTGGGAGGACACTTACGTAAGATGGCACAAGGACCTGCTACCTGCAGCTAATTAGCCAGGAGGACAAAAGCAATGCACGATGTTTGGACAGTCGATGATTCAGGACTCAGGACTCAGGACTCTGGATTGAGGACTCTGATTCTGATACTGATTGGCATGCATTCTGGCTCACAGACACCAATGCAAACACAAACACAGGCACAGACACAGGCACGAATACAGGCGACATAATGGTGTGCGTGTTTGTGTGCGAACTCAAGCACACAAGCACAAATGGCGGTTCGCGTAGACAAACATGACGTAAACCCAAAAAAGTATGCTACAAAACTTGGTTCGCCTTTCGCTTACGATTCGGACCCTTAAAACGGTCGCTCATTGGGGCTCTCTTTTTATATCTGTTTAATATTTGTTTAATAATTTTTGATTATTTTTGATTTCGCTGGCATTCGGTTTCGTCTTTCACTCTGCAAAGGAAACATCAAAGTGCAAACATTTTAATTGGCATTAAATGTTTGTCGGAGGGGCGTAAGTGCCGTCGGCGTGTCACTGCGACTTAATGGCGACATGAAGGCCATTAGGCCAAGTCAACTAACAATACTAGCAAAGTGTGTCACATGAAAGCACGGCAAATAATGGGAAATAATACTCCGTTTGGTGACTATAGATAGTATGCATCTTCACTGGATTACACAACACTGCTTCTGGCTTCCGACTTGGCTGAAATCAAGCGAAACAACACTAACACTTTCTAGCATTGGCTATAATATTGAGGCATTTGTTGTTGGTACCACACTGAACGCTCTACACTCGCCCAGTGTCCTTTCGATCCGAACTCGCGACTGTAACGCTCGAAAGCCGAGGACGGACTAAAGGAACTCCGTCTAAGGACTCGTCGCTCGGTTTGGTTTCATTCGGTTCTTCGAGTGAGTTGCAGTGGCACTCGGCTGTTTGAGTGGGATTCGGTATTACCATGACTGACTTTATGGCTGAATTGTTGCTTTGCCTTCCTGTCGTTTGCCGCTTGCATTTTTTACGCGCTTACTCGGTTCGCCGCTTATTTTTATATCCTTTTTGGATTCTCAGTTTTTGTGCGACGTGATTCATTTCCGGTTTGCAACGGAAGCGACTGGAGGTGAGTCGGATGCCACATAAAATCATTGGAATTCTCGCAGACAAATTTTATTTATGCAAAATACTTACATTTCCTAAAAAATATGTTATAGGAGTTAGCACATTTTCTTAACAAATGATTATTGTTAGGCACCATTTACTTTGCATAACCTAATATTATTCGAAGCAGATATTCAAATACATCTATCAAATATAATTTATAATTTAAATCACAAAACTGAGCATTTTTATCTGTACCACTGGTTTTATTAAATTGGACCGAAATTCATAAAATTTGCATGCCAATTTCACGCCGTGAATAAGGGAAATTGGAGGGTTGGTCGGGGGATTAACCCCTTGGGCATTGACTGCAAATGAGTGGCTTGTTTATGAGTGGGACGCAGCTAAGTGAGCATCAAATGGCCAGAGGTGTCTGCCTTTGGGATTGTGTGTGAGTGTGTCTGTCTGCGTGAGGTGTCTGTCCGCCCATCCGTGGGTTTGCACACACTGAAAGCAAGGGAAGCAGATGGCTCCGGCAACCTGTTGGCTTTTGGGTATAAATTTAACCCAACCAAGCTTGTTTTACCTATGCTTTCCTGCCTGTGTGAGCCGCTCTGGTTTTTTGCCACCCGTCGGACATTCTTTATGTTCGCAGGGCACCAACGGGTCGTATGCGCAATTATTGCCATTATGGCTTCGCTTAAATCGTTGCCCCAGTAGGCCCTGGCGCCTTTAAGCCTGCAATGTGGGCGTGTAACTTAAAGTGACTCACTACGCAAGTGAAATCACTAAGCAGACCTTACCCTCTCTTAATTTGGTCTGATGGCTCCCATTGAACAACTGCATTTAAAGAAATAATCATTTGCATTAAAGAACATCATCAAATGAAGGTACATAACTTAGAATCATAACTTAGCTCATAAATTGTAGATCTCAGCCGGTGTGTTACACTAGCCTACATGCTCTGGTTGTCATAGAACGAAGCTCGAATGTGTATTGAACAAACAAACTGAACGGAAATTCCGATACTCCACCGGCGGCAGTTTCGTTATATATTTTTTGTACACCCAGTCGCAGTCATGTCATTTAGAAGGGACCACCAGTATGGATCGACCGTGCGAAACACGATTGTGGCGCGGTCCAATCGGCCAGTTGTCAACCGGATGTTGCGCTCCGCGCGACTGGACTCCACGGTGGGTCAGACTCAAGCCAAGGCAGCCAAGGCCAAGCGGATGGAGACAAAGGCGCAGCTCATGCAGAAGGAGCGATCCTCCAGCACTGGGATGAGCGGCTTCTCCAAGCTGACAAGTCGCGATGGACTGGTGGGCAAGGATTACTGGAACGCGGCCATTGAGGACGTGGAGTTCAGTGCCGCCTGCCGCTTCCAGCCGCGCATTCCCGTCATTGACTACTCCCTTGTGCTGCCGCCTCGATTGCGCGAGCGGGTCAAGCGCATCCAGAACTACGACTATTCCAAGTCGGACGAGGACATCTACATCAGAGACGAAATGCAGGAGGTGCGACCCGAGGACTACATGAGCGCCGAGAGCTCCGAAAAAAGTGAGGAGGAGGATGACCACGTGGTAGATATGGAGTACTTTGTAGCCTTTCCGCAAGACCTTATGTTGCGACCTTATCTTCTGAGAATTTAGCTACTTGAAATTGGTCGGAAGAAGGTGGAGGAGTACTTCAACGAGAGTGACCACTCGGATATTGTGCGCATGGAGCACGAGTTCGAGAAGTTCGATCTGAAGCTGGATGAGCCAGTGGGACACACCCATCGTGTCGTGGACAAGTCCAGTTGGTACGCCAAGTTCCTGTGCGCCCCGCGCGATAAGAGAGTCAGCTGGCAGAGTCGCGTGGAACATCCTGGCCAGAACTACTCCATGGTAACGCTGGACGAGCAGGCTGAGAACCTCATGGATGCGGTTAGCATACTTACTCTTTTCCCTACCATTTCATTCTAATAAATACCAGCTCAATAGTCGGCGGAACGTTTTGTCGAGTGGCTGAACTCCTTTGGCACTTTGGAAAGCAATTTGACGCCGGAAAAGGTCAAGAACCTTTTTTCCATCAAGGGGGATCGAACTCTGTTGGCCTCCGTGAAGACAGATCCCAAGGAGGTCAACGCCATTGCTCAGACTGTGGCCGACAAATGGAACAAGCCCCATGTGGGTAACCAAAGCAGAATTCCCTTAGCCAAATTATTCATCTAATCCATTTCTAGATGGCCATTGAGCTGAAGTACGAGAAGCACATCAATGACCACGCTTCCCGGGTGAACCAGAAACCCCTTCTAAGTGCATTTGGACGCACTGTTCCGCTGAAGGATCGTCCCTGGCTAAAACGATCCGGAGACACCGCCATTAAGACGGTCTATCCGGAGGATCTGCTGACCCGCGAGAAGATCTTCAAGGGCATCACCCACCTGCGCAGCACCACTGCCCTCATCGACTTCTATCTGGCCCATCCCGAACTGGAGCGGCCACAGTATCTCCTCCAGAGCGGTGACTTTGAGGAGTCCAGCGCCAGTGAGTCCGTCGCTGAGGTGCCGCTTTACGAACTTCTGGGATTGCGTTATTAAACCATTGATTGATTAAACCAATGAGTTGATTAGTTATAATAAATTACCAGTTGTCTGCAAGTCAATGGTAGCAGTCCAATTAAAAAGTACAATTAAAAAGACCAATTCATTTAGATAAATATGTACGAATTCAGCAAAAAATTTAACAAATTGTAATCTTATTAGATGAATTTAATGAAAATGAAGGTTTCTTTCAATAGGCCTTAGATTTTGAGTTCTCTTTTTAAAATGTAAAAACTTAGAAGAGAATATAAAGCAGGCAATAAAGTTTATTGTTAAAAATGAATCTATAAGGTCAGCGTGGTTTGGATCCAGGGCAGATAGGTGCCCACATTCACATAGACACCCGGAACTCCCGCCTGGGCGCATCCAATGCCCCATGCCACCAAACCCACCACATACCAGACGCCGTTGCTGGTGCAGACAAGCGGAGAACCCCCATCCCCGGTGCAGGCATCCTTGCCAGCTTCTCCGCCGGCACAAATGAAGCTGGTGGGACTGAGGACGAAGGAGGAGCCCAATCGGGTGGCCTGCAGTGCCGCCTGGCAATTGGCATTGGGAATCAGGGGCACGTCCACTTGTCTCTGAATGGCCTGGTACGCTCCGGTGGCACCGAAGTCATTCTTGCCCCACCCAGCCACCCAGCATCTCTGACCCACGAAACTGGTGGTGGGCAAACAGACTGTGCCCACCGTGGATTTGCTGGTCAGCGAAACGGGTGTGGACAGCTTCAGGATGGCCACGTCGTTCTGCAGATTGTTCGGATTGAAGGACGGATTGATGTACACATTCGAGATAAACACATCCTGGGCTGGAATCGGTTCGCTCGTACTGCTGGCGTCCCATTCCCCCAGACGAACCTTGAAGGAAGTGAGCCTACACGTACACGATAAAGTTGAAAATTTGGACAGGGCTCTTGGAGAAAATGGAATTGAACTCACGCCAGATTGTAAACCTTGTGGGCGGCGGTCAGAACATGTTGTGCGGTGATCAGTGCTCCACCACCCAGATATACATCCGCGGTGGTCAGCAGTGCGGCCTGCCAGGGATATGCTCCGTAACTGGCCTGTCCAGGTCCTGCGGCGGTGGATCCCGGTGGTGGTGGAAACCTCCGCCCACACTGATAGCTTCCCGCCTGGCAACAGGCCACCAGACCATAGCTACAGGTCAGCGTGGAAGATGTGGTTGGAACAGTGGCCTGAAAAAGGGAGTAGTAGCGGTATTACCCAATTATTGTATCAGATAGTGAGCCCTTACATATCCTCCATTGTTCACAATCCTGATGTCTATCTGGCCACTGCCATCGCTGGGTGCGGTGGGCAGAGGATTGGCGCAGGACCCAGGTGGAACGCACTGGCAGTAGCTGGTTCCGGAATTCACGATAGAGGGCACAGGTGGCCAGGTGCCCGGCGGAACCAGCGGTGGCAGCAAGGTGCCCACAATCAGCTGCCTGGCGAGTACTGATGGGCCATAAAATCCAGCACAATTGGAATCAACAACGTTGATTGGAGCCACTTACTTGTGTGATTCGCTGTGCTGCCCACATCGCTGGGTTGGGGCACTCGACTTGTATCCTGGCTGCCCTCCGACTGAACTGGTCCAAAGCTCCAGGCACGCGCACCTAATCCTGATCCGGTGAAGAGCCACTGCAGCAGTGGCAGCCACCACATGCGACCGAACTGAGTCATAGCCAGTGACAACTAAATCGAGACAACGAAACTGTGGTCGGCTATATAGCGATGGCCAGTCCATAACTCCCCCCATTAAATTGACTGACGAATGGCCTCCTCTGCTCAGGGATTTTCCCCATTGCATAGAAGCAACAAAAAGCAATCATAAAAAGCAAATTAGGGGAGTAGGAACTGCACCACGAAGTGGGGTTACTCTTTTCGGTATATGTCCATTTGTAGTACATATTTACTATATTTATCTATGTTTATTCAATACGTAGATGTTCCTACTCTTACCGAAATATTTTTTATATGTGTGTAATCTATTATGACTAAACTAACAAAAGAGTATCTCTGTAAGGTCTCGAATAAATAAAGTACAGATGCGATGTGTTGACAACTCGCAGGTTCGATAATTTTATTTAGCTGAATACTTTCATTGTTCAAAAACAATTTTGTAGCTGCTCCACATTTTTTAGCCATTAAATTTGATTCTAATAACTTAATAGTTTAATTGCAAACAATTTGGTGTCGATTCATGTTTGACACTTTCCGCTTGAAATGCAATCGCATTTCCCCAACGCCCCGGAAAACCGTTAACAACTTGGCACCAGAATTTGTTTAATGATTCACCTCCCACAACATTCCGCTCGATCTAACACTAATCCCCGTCTAGAGCTGTTAAACTGGGCGAATGTTAAGTCCGCGATAGGAAAAGCTTTCGAGCTTTCATATCGGGTGTACCTAACTATGGGTAACTTGGTCAGGTCCAATCAGTTCGTGCGGCAAAGTGGAACGAAATGGGTCACCTGCAGCTGGATTTCCATGCCATACCGAAACTCCATGGTCGGGAGAACTATTGGCAGTGGCGCATCCTCCTGAAGACCTTTCTGGAGGCCAACGATCTGTGGAAGCACAACGAACCCAAGGAGGTGGCCATCTTAGTCTTACACTCCAAGTAATAGTCATTTTAATCCTATCACCATCCAATTTCCAGAGCCCAGAAACCAAATTCCTGATTTTGGCCAGCGTTACGGCCGATAAGATTGAGCCATCCTACGATGAACAAAGCTGTTCGTACATTTTCCAAAACATGGAGAGTCGATTCGGGCCTTTTAGTTAGAGTTGAAATTTATTAATATATATATGTTTTGATCATTGATCTGGTTTATTTGTTTTCTTCTTTACCGCCTCCTTTTCCTCCATTTTTACCACCTCCATCGCCACCGCGTCCAGATCCTCCGTCCTTACCATCCCTTGGATTTTGGTTGCCTTCATTGGGTTTATCACTTGTTTGCTTTTCACTTTCGGAACTTCCTGATCTTCCGGCTCCACCACCAGCACCACCACCACCGCCACCTCCTCCTCCTCCTCCTCCTCCTCCTCCTCTATTACTTGATCCCCCTTTTCCGCCAGACATTTCTAGCTCATAAGCTTGCTGATAGGGAAAGTTGGCTAAAAAAGTGAACTATGTATAAATTTTCCAACTGCTGAATCAATGAGTTGTGATCAAATTTCCTTACACGTTTGGTGATTCAGAAATATTTTTACCAATCATATTGTCAGTTTAAAAATAATACACATATAAAAAACATAACTTTTTCATCTCTAACAATGAGATTCATTTATTCAAAGTGATTTTGGTTGTGAACTTAAACGTGCCATCTGAATGGAGCTTTCAATTCCTTTACAATGCATTGATCTTTGCTTACGATCTAGTACTACGATTTAAGGCACTATGAAAAGCACTACGTACAGATAATTTCAATTGGTATTCTCCAGGTAAAGAACTCTTAACAAACACTACATATAAATACGCTATATGTACAAGCTAAGAAGTGAGGGAGCGTTCAGCTCCTTTGTTCCGATAACGTTGATATCCGACGGTATTCGATATTCGATATATATGATTCTTGACTAGCACTATTGCACGCCCTCCGTCGGCGGCAATTGATTGGGATCATAATAGAAGAAACTGGGCGACCACGGCCTCTGAGCTCCCGCCTTCAGTTCGGGATGAGCAAGTGCCATCTCCTGGCAGCCGCAGTCCTGGGCCCCATCCTTGCCAGGACCCTCGCCGGGGAACTCCTGCCCCACCGCCAGGGCACGCAGCACAATCAGGTGCGGATTGGTCACATCCACATTGGTGATAACTCCGGCCTCGTGACGAAAACTGTAGAACCGGTTCTTCAAATGCCCATCCATGTAAATCTGGAAAGCCGCGAATCGATCAAGAAACGTTTCCTAACATCTGAAGCACTTTTCCCTTACCTCATACCCTGCTATAGCGCGACAGTCCTCCACACTCCATCGGACGTAGAGGGCGGTGTCACCCAAAGCGCAAATGCCCGTAATTTTTACGGGAAAGCTGTCGTCCGGTCCACCTCTTGGAGGCGTTTCTTTTGCCTTAATGTGCTGTGGTATTAAATGAGAGAATATTATTAAGGAAGTGGATACTATGCAAGACAATGGGTGTCCCACCTTTGGTTTGGCTTGCTTGTCGCCGAGCACACAGTCCATGGCATGCATATCAACGATGATCGAGTCTATGAAGTATTTCTGCGAGATAAAAGATAATAGATACATCACATTTTTAATGACACGATTGGTGAACTCACTATTTCGCACAGTGGATCACACATTCCGGAGCGCAGGGTCTTGGAAACCGTCTTGCACTCCTCGTCGCATATGAGAGCGCGACAGTGGCAGCATAGGCATCCTTGTTCTTCCGGGGGACACTCGTCATCGCATTCCTCGCATTTCTCCAACGGACAATCTTCCGGGCACTCCTCGCAGTCGAGCTCGCACACTTCGCATGCATCATCCTCGCAGGAGTACAAACTTCCATCGTCACCACATAGTCCACAATCCCTGAGCGCTTTTCGGAGCAGCTGCTCGCAGAGGTTTCTCACATCGGGTGACAGAGGTCCATCGGGCAACAGTCCGGTACGTGGACCCTTGGGCGCCGGGCTAGGTGACTCCTTTTGCGCACAGGGATCCAAGTTGTAGGGGAAGGCTGCCCAGTCCGTTTGCTGTGTGGTCCATGGAGGACAGGACACCATGCCCGAAAATGGACACTCAATTTTGTCGGATTTTTCTTCTTCCGGCAGCACCGCGACTGGAGGTCTCTCACAGATTTCCTTGAGTACTGTGGTAGGTGTTTTTGGTTCTTCGCCTTCGTCGCCTTCCTTATTGGTCTCCTCCGCAAGAATTTCTTGCAGTTCCTTGTCGATGAATGCTTTAAGAGATTGACAGAGATCCGGCTCCGTGGCTAATTTATCATCATCCTTACAGTCGCACTTTTTAACATCCTCGTCGTCCTCACAGTCACGGAAGATGTCATCATCCAAACCATCGCCTGAACAGGTTAGTGCATTTCCAATGTCAAAGAATGGCTCCGGGCACTGACAAGGTTTCATTTTGTCCTTTTCCTGGGGTGATTTTGGCGGCTTGGGTTCTGGTGGAAAATCTGGATCCACTTCGAAGGCATAGATGTCGGTCTCAGGGATCTGAAGTTCTGCCGGCGGCAGGAAGCACTTGCAGAGGTATTCCTCCAGCTGATGGAAGCACTCGACTCGTTGGAGCTCCCTCTTTGACAGGGGTTTTTCGACTGGATCCTCCTCGCCATTGCGATCATGTTGGGCCGTACAGCACTCATCGAAGGTCAGACATGGCGGGCTTGCCTCATCCGCTGGAGCAACTGCATCCTCTTTTTCCGATCTCAGGAGCAGTGTCAGTTCCCGGAAAAGTTGCTTGGTCAGGCAGGGGCGAGATACCCCGCAATCGCACCCAGGACTGGTGAGTTTTTCCATCAGTATGAGGACGCGCTCTTTTCGCGAGCAGCAGGCCATGTTTCTATTCCCGCATGGATCCTCTGGTGTCTGGTAGCCAGTGGCCGCCTGGGCACTCTGCATCCCACGAAGGTCGTCCTTCGAAGAGCACTGGCATTGCTTGCTGACACACGTTAGCTTTGCGGGTTCCTCCGGAGGAGTTGCGTCGCCTTTGCACAGGCAACTACCCCCGGAGAGACTCCTGTGCGTATGAAGACTGGTCTGGATTGGATCGGACAACTCGGAGTCGTTATCAGAAGCATCACAGTCGCAAAACTCTTCGTGACCCTTAACGCTCACCTTCCTGGAACGCGCAGAGGGACTGGGGTCGACTTGCGAGTTCTGACAATCGTTGAACTGGGCAAACCCGGATGGATGCTGTATTCTTGTGGAGGGGCAGGGCACAATCTGGATCTTATCTGCGCACTCGGCGCACTCCCGATCGGCCAGGCTCGACACAAAGCCCTTGGCGGACTGATGATCCGATCCGCATAGGCAGGTGACCATGCCTACGACCGACTGGGATCGGGTGGTGGCCGAGGTCTCATCGCCTGCCCCAAAGGAGGGTTGATTGCACGGGTTGGTCGGCCTGGAAGCACTGGACTTGGATGTCATACTGCGGTAATTTCGGTGGTTCTGAGGAAGTGAATTCATTGAAGGATCCTGATTAGTCTGAGTAGCGTTGTAGGTACATGGAGCGCACGGCTTTTCTTTGGCAGGGCAGCATTCACTCTCCGGATCCTTTAAGGCGGACAACCAAGTGACGCCACTCTGGGTTGGCTGATTAGGTTTACTGGACAGACTGGCCAAACTCTTGGATCGACCGAGGCTGCCTTTAGATGCTTTTGGTTCATGCATGGGAGCGAGAGTGCTCAAACTCTTATAGGATTTGGAGGGGTCCATTGCCCTACTGTAGGATGGTCCGGATACCAAGTTGCTTTGACCAGCCCAGTATGGTGGGGTGGAGCCACAAGTGCAGGGATCGAGGAGTTCCTTGGTGCAAGCTGTTAAAGCACTCTTGAATGAGGGAGCGTGCTCTGGTCCCGACCCCGATGTCTTGTGGGAGGAGGGCTTCTTCGAGCTGGGTTTTTCCTGGTGACCCAGCCCACATGGATGGGCATCTCTCTTGCACGCACACGTGCCTTTAACCGCTGGTGGATCGGCGGACTTGGACCTCTTTACCGCGCATGAGCACGACGGCCCATTGTCCAGGTTCCAGGGGGTGTGGTGTTTCCGGAGAAAGGAGTCCTCCGTCTGCGAAGGCTTGGCACGGGGGTCTTCACAATCAGATTGTTGCGACTGTTGGGTTTTTGACGGCTTCCAGTGGTCTCTCAGGTGGGACTCCTCGGTTTGTTGTTGGCGGGAGTTGGGGTTGCTGTCGGACTGTCGCTCATGCTGCATGTGCATCAGAGCCGGGCATTCTACGGATGAAATGAATGGGATACAAGAAATACTTAACAAGGATTTTAAACATCAATTCAAGTGCATCATTCAAGTGTCCAATAAAAACCCTTTTTTGCTTGTTTTCGAATCACAGCTGCTAAAATAAATAATAGAGTTCCCAAAATCTTGAAAGCGAAGGAAAGGAAGATGGAAACAAATTGAAATAGAATGGAAAATACATTATTACCATTCTTTAGGAAAACAGGTCAGCAGGAAAAGTTAGCACGCTAACATTGTTATGCCGGTTAAGGCACGAAAAGATGATACCGATTAACCGATACCGAACCGATACCGATACCGATACCGAAAACCGTTTCGGCTCGATTCCCCGGCTAGAACACACATGATTCGTTTCGATTTGATTCGATGGGCAAACACATTTTATTCGTTTGGATGGCTCGTGGGGACGAGCAGTTCCCTGATCTCCGTAAGTCGGATCTCGCGACCCCGCGTAATTTCCGGACGGGACCACATATCAACGTGGTACAACTCTAAGAACTTGGCCTCCGCCTTTTCGCGGCACGGACAAAAGTCGAAGTAGGAGGTCTGGCTGCAGACCTCCCGATCCTCGAACTTTGTGAAGATGGTGCCGCGCTGTACGCAGCGGCAAACCTTGACATTGGTGTGCTCTTTGTTAGTAGCGAAAGAGCGTTTCTTCCACGGACACATGCAGCAGCCACAGTTGCCGGGACAAAAAACATTGCCATCCTCGTCCATAATGGGACTGGGATCGAAGCGGCAGGGCGAGCAGTTGGAGAACTCCTTGTTTTGGGGCAGGGCAAGGTAGTACCGCTTGCTACCCGGCGCCCTTTCTTGCGGCGGCGGTCCCGTCTCTTCCTGCGGTTGCGGTTCTAATATCTCCTCCTCGCTAGACAACAGCTCATCGGATTCATTCGACTCGGTGGACTGCTGGTCCGGCTCTGGAGCATAGATTATCAAGTGCTCCTGCGGGGCCTCTGGAACTAGCTCCACCTCCGATTCTTCAATTGGCAGTGCCTCTGGTATAAGAACGGGCTCTGGTTCGATGTCTTGCACGGGCAAGTAGCATATAGAGATCACCTCCCGTGCCTCCGGGTCGTGCCAGCGGGAACAAGTGGCCGGAGCGCAACGGGTATAGTGAGATGTTGAATCCCCACAGCTTCCCATGTAGATCGAACTGGCGGTCCCTTCGGTTAGCTGTTGCGATTCACGTGGACGAAAGTGTTCGCTGGCGGATTTACCTGAGGTGGGCTTTGGAGCCCTTGGAGCGGAACGCATATGCTGCTGCGAGCGGCACTGGCAGATGGACTCTTTTTGATTCCTGACGGCCGGCGGCTTCCTTTGCTGGCACCTGGCCACCTTCCCGCTCTGCGGATTGAACTCCAGCGGCATCTGGACGGTGACTGGCTTCCCGTGCAGCGGGCAACCAGCGCGACCCTTCTTGGGGTCAACCAGCCGAGCGGTCAACTCCAGGGTGACGGCACACGGCTGATTCCAGCCACCGGCCGTGTCAAAGTTCTTGAGTAGCATCTGAGTGGCATTGGCCGCCCGTTCCAGGGCCTCTCGTATCGCTGCCGGATCATCCAGCCTGCACCGACTGGTGGCACTGCGGCCCTCCCTCGGCGAATTCTCACCCGGTTCTTGGCAGTCGAAGAAGTAATCCTGTTCGCTGCGCGTCTGCTGGAAGTTCTCGCCCCTGAAAAGCAGCCGGGTGGAGTCGAATCCCTGAGTCAGTGTCATGGAGCTCTGGTTCAGGAACCGACCACGCGAATAGTCACTTTGAGCGATGCTCGGATCGACGGGCGGATTGGCGAGTTCCTCGTTCATCACGCTGAAAGTGCTAGAACTGTTTTCCCCAAATCAAGCTCTAAGCTAACATTAAATTTTTCAGTGTGTGTTGCCTGCTCGATTGTCTAAAATACTGATTCCAAAGGGCCAAGTGGAGCGAAAATGTGACAGGAGTGAAAAAGTGACTGCACCGCCTGCTAGTCAATAATATATAAGGATTTCAATCTCTTTGTATGTAGCAAAAACCAAGTGAAAGCTTAAAAGATACATATTCTAACACCCAATATACCACTGAAAAAAACGCATTTTTCTCGACATGAACCAATTTAGTCACCAACGAATTTCGAGAAAAAACAATAACTAAGCTAAAACCATTAAATGGCTTTTGAAAATTCCAGGATTCACGAGCTTTGATTAGGCTTCTGGCCATCGCGACATACTTCATCCTTGTTGGACCACTTCACACTCGATCTCCTGCTCTTCGCCTTGTTCTGGTTTGCAGGTGCATTGCATCCGCAAAAGGTGCCAATCGACTTGGGCTGGAAGATGTTGACTTTGACCTGGCCGCTTTCCGGATTCAGTTCGATGGGCAGCTTCAGGGTCACTGGATCGCCCATCAGCTTGCACTGCCTGTCCTTGGGGCAGGGACACTTGTCGTCCGTGTGAAGACGGGCACTGACCTCCAGTGTGGCCGGATAGAAACGTGTCATCAAAGGACGAGTTGGCACGCAATCAGTGCCTCCATAGCACCTCAGCAGCCGCTGTGTGGCAGTGGCTGCCCGCTCCAAAACAGCCCGAATCTGGACAGGATCGTCGAAGCGAGGCGCTTGTTTGCAGATCACCTCATCGCCACCGCCCACATCCAGCTCTGGAGTCTCCTCATCGTCACTCCGGCAGTCATGGAAGATGTCTGCGTCTTCAAATTCGCCAATCATAATGCTCAACGTTTAAACAATTTGGAGTAATCTGATACCAATATGAATCACCCGACAAAACAGTCTACTGCATACAGAGAAAATAATCTCAGGGCACTATTGATGCTGAATCCAAATCCAAAGAGCTTACATATAGCATCCCTCATGGAGACCAAAATAAGGGACAGTCAGTGATAATTTACATTTATGCATGGATTATTTACATCGAAATAAAGGCTATTTGGCACCCCTGGACAACATGGAATTGCTCCTCTCCACAGGAATGTAGACAGTGCAGCAATACTCAGACTCCGCCTTCTGGTTGTGGAAGAGCAGCAGTCTGGTGTGGATTCGCCGCTCGATCTGCTGCAGAAGCGCCGAGGATGCGGGCTTAAGGGCCAACTTTAAGTTTTGCACACAGTCCAGAGCAGACACAAATCCCTCATAGCTCTCCTCCGACTTCTGATGACTCTTTTCTGTCCACATGTCCTGCAGGAACTCTAGGTGCTCACGAAAATCCTCTCCGTCTTCCCATAAGTGAAGAAGACGCGTCCGGAAGGCGGACACATCAAAGTATCCGTCTACGGCGCCCTGAAGCAGATCCACGAAGCACCTGGTTCTCAGAGGCATCAGGAGCAGGCGTTGCTCCACACCCACATCGGCCTGCGTTCCACACTCAACGGATTCTGGTTGAACCTGGACCTCCTGTTCATTGCACTCCGCCGTGACCTGAACCTCCTCTTCCAGGCTCTTCACCTCCTCCGTTTGTACAATTGATACTTTGGCTAGCGATTCCCAATCAAGATTAACCACTTCAGCGTGAAGGGAGTGCCGCGAAATTCCTGATCTGGCCGTGTGAGCCGTGTGAACTGACAATAGCGAGTGGAAACTGCTGCAGGAGAGGCTCTGCTGGAGCTGGAAGCCCAGAGTCCGATTTGATCGGCCATTGCGCGTACGGGCGCGGAAAATTCCTCGGAAGAGGTAACGCCGTATTTTTCGCTGGCGATAATTGGGGCTTGGATGCTTCTGCTTCTTATCCTTTGCCCGCTTGTTGCTTTTCCTTTTGGGCTCTGGTTCATGCTTCTGATCCACAGGATCCACCTCATCGAACAGCTGCCCCATGGAAGAGGGCACCTCGCTTATGTGCTTCGCTTGCTCTTCCGCTGGTTGAACTACCTGCAGATCCACCGGGCTATCCGATGCGTCAAGGTATCGTTCAGATTTTTGGTCTGATTGGCCAGCTGATTCCCGACCTTTGGGACGGCAGGAGGATGTCTGGACACTAACATAACTGGATTTCTTGCTGCTAACGAGATCCCTGTCCGAATCGACCTGACTTTCTGGAACGACCTGATTATCTTGACTTTCTTGAATTCCCTGGCTTTCTATACTAGTCACAGTTGACAGTCCTGTCCCACATATTCTTTCTGAAGAGGCATCCTGGACCGTAGCCCAACTGGTGCCTTCTGCTTCCGGACCACCTGGCTTGGCCGGCGTTTTGGATTGGAGACTCACCTCGGACGGACTCTGTGAGAGGAGCGTATCCGCCAGTTGCTTCACACTAGAAGCAATCGCTTGGAAGTCCTTGTGGAGGGGCAGATCAAAATCATGACCCTGTAATGGCATTGAGTAATAAGGTACAGTAAAGTCCATAATACTTCCAGACTCACCGCTAGATCGAGTAGAGCCACGCCCAGGCCCTGACTGGCGGCCTGGAGGTTCGGCACCTCATCCTTCTTGACCCGCTTAGCAGGACTATCGTGGAGCTCATCGGCCAGGCTGTAGCCCTCGGGGATAACACCCAGCTTCCTTTCCAAAAGCTGGCATTGTTCTTCCTTGGTGCGCAGCTCATCTTCCAGGCAGCGCGCCCGTTCCTCGGAATCTTTCATCTGGGTCTCCATCTGACGGATTTTGTTTTCCAGCGTGCCCACCTCCTCTTTCAGCTCGCTGTTGGTGACCTCGATGTGCAGGTACTCCTTCTTGATGTTGAAGATCTGGGTGCGCAGTGCATCCGTCTCCTGTCTCAACTGATCTTCGGTGTTCTGCTGCACCTTCTTGGCAAAGCTGAGGTCATCCATCAAGGCCTGGCTCTTGCGCCTCTCGTTCTCCAGAGCCTCCGTCAGGGGCATTTTGTTTTCCGCCTCCACTTCCATCTTGGCCATCAGACTCTCCAGGCTGCACTGTAGAGTGCGATTCTCGGTGAGCAGGTCGCGATGCTCCTTGGTCATGCGGACCAGGCAGGTCTTCAGTGCCAGCTCCCCCTCCTCCAGCTGCTGGATCTTTTCGGTCGCTGCCCGGGAATCCTCCCGGAGGCAATCTTGCAGTTGGGTTATCTTCTGCTTGAGGCTGGCCTCCTTGGCTTGCTGGGCCTCCTCGCGCTCCTTGTACTGCTGCTCCAGATCCACCCAGTGGGAGTCTGCCGTTTCCATGGCCTCGTAGTGCCGGGCATTCAGCTCTTTCAGTTGGTCACGCAGGCTCTTGACCTCTTCCTTTAGGTAAACGAGCTCCCGACCCTCGCCGGAATCGGCTAATCCCGCTTGACCGAGGCCATACTCCGCGGTATGGATTTTGGAAGCGGAGTCTCGATCCTGATGGACGGAAGATGTGTAGCCCGAGGAGAGGCGGGGGCTGGCTTCCGGGGACGATATCTCGTTGCCCATTTTGGCTAGTGATAACAAGCGGAAGATCAGGAGTAAGGGCAGCGATTTTCGCAGATCCTGAAGCTCCTTTCTGGCTTGCTTTCTTTCGGCCTGCAGGTGCTCCAGCTGGGTTTCAGCTGCCACAAGATCGTCTCGCAGGATTAGTACCTCCGCCCTGCAATCCTGGTACTTGGCGCCCAGTGCTTCCTTGCCGAACTCCAATTCCACGTTGCGCTGACGCAGAATTTCTAGTTCCACCTCGTTGCGCTGCAAATGGAGTCGTGTATCGTTCTCGGCCTCCTCAAACTCGCACTTGGCCTCCTCCAACTGTGCGTTTTGCTCGATCAGCAACTCCACCCGGTCCACAAGCTCCTTGAGATCCTTCTCCAGCTGCAGTTCCCGCTGCAGTCTCTGGGCCAGGTGCCGTGCCTGGGTCTCGCCACTGCTCTCGTAGATCAGCAGCTTGCCCTCCAGCTGCTCCAATCTCTCCTGGTAGAACTGCAGGTGCGGATGGCCAACGGGATTCGAGGGCAGATCGCACTCCACGAATACTCCGCTCTCGCTAAGGCTGCTACTCTGCCACGAGCTCACCTGGCTGCAGTGCCTCTTGCTTGGCGTGGGCGGCGCTGTGGGCGTGGCGCAGTTGCTGTACGGCTGTACTGTGGCTACGATCCTGTGGTTGTGACTTTGACTGTGGCTGTGGCTGTGACTATGTGCTGGATTGTGTCTTCTGGGAGTTTCCGTGCGGTTCTGTGTGGACGGGAGTAAAATAAGACTGGAATTTTAGTGATCTCGTTGGCCAAAAATAGAAAATATGTGGTTTTTAAACAAGCAAGGTTAATGCAAATAGTGAGTTGGGACTCAATGAATATACGGGTTGTATATGTTTGCAACAACATGAAAGTCTGTAGGCCTTTCCACGAATAACTGACAAACATTTATATGCTAGCTATGCTGTGGAGTTTGTGAATACGGAAAAGATTTCAACATAACAGGGACCAAGGGCGTTACACACCTGATCGCCTGGCATCATGGCGTCCAGATCCAGCTGCTGGACGCACTGCAGCAATTGCTGCAAGCAGCGCTTGTCCCGATCCTCCAGCTGCAGGGCGGACTGCTCCAGCAGATCCTGCAGACTCTGGCAGTGGCCCGCGCAGGTGCTCTCCATCTAGATCGAAACAGATCGGATTGGGAGTGATGCGATTAGAAATAATCCGCTGATTAACAGTTACTTAGGCAAATTAACACTGGCTTAATGCTCCACTGCCACCACTGACACACTCCCATGTGCACACCAATCTGCGTCTAATTTCACTTTGCTGGCTGCTCGAATAATTACTTTTGGTTATTGCAATTAGACGAGTGGATTGGATTTTTCAAGCTGAACGACTTCACTGCTGCTGGCTGCTGGCTGCCAGCTGAAACTGTTCGGCTCTAGAAATTAAGCGTACCGAAACTGAAAAGCAGCAGAAATGATTGACGCATTGGGGCATCGAACTGCAGATACCTCTTTCAAAATTTTAGCCCAGTAGTATTAGCCCAGAAAAATTTGTGATCCGACTTCAGCTTTTCGCAACCACAAAATAGATTATATTTTGCACTCCTATCTCTAGGGCTTATAAATGCACTAAAAGTCACTTTCAGCTAATTTGAGCAAGGTGCTTTAAGAATTGAAAAAATTTCGGAGCTCCACCCATCCGCGATATACCTTTATGTGCTCCATTTAATGGTCACCACAAAGGTGCGGGGCCAACAAAGCCTTTTGCTCGATTTGGTTGTCTATGAGCAATGACAAAACACTCATAAGTATAACAAGACTCGTAGATGGGATCCACTTAGGGCGCTACCCTTATAAGTAGCGTTTTAAGCGCTTGAACACTGATTTGGCTAAAACAACTCTTAGACGAAAGCGTCTACATGGCCAAGAAGCAACACTAGCTTGGCGAAAATTGTAGGCGTTGATCACAGATTGAGGTAGTGACATGAAGTCAATGTGCAGATGGAGTCGCTTACAATTGGAAAGTTTAACCACAGTTTTCAATTCCTGAATATTTTATAACACAGGCTAATGAGCTAGCCATCAACTGCGGCTGCTCCAGTGAAACAATTTCAATTGGAAAATAGAAAGATTGTTGTTGCCGTTAAGCCAAAACAATTTCCGTGCTGGCTTAGATGCCAAACAAAACTAAAAGAGACTCCGGCACACCAAGTTGGCCAACAACGCTAGCTTTGCTCTGAGCGAACTCGAGTCGGGCTCGAATGAATGGCTCAATTCATTCATAAACAACCGCCAAGTGAGCCAAGTGAGTCACTCGTTTGAGTGGATTCGCAAACTGGTCTTCGAGCGAATCGTGTTCTGTGGTGGGGGTGCCGTTTGCCTACCTTATCGCTATCATCTTCCAGCTCGAGTATGCGAAACTCAAGGAGTTCATTCTGCTCCCTCAGTTCGCTGGCCTCGTCCTCCAGGCCCGACTGCTTCTCCTCCAGCTCCTTGATGCGCTGCATCAGCTCCCCGATCTGAGCCTGCTTCTTGCCGCTGCTCATCGCCGCCTTTTCCGCGGCATCCAGCTCCTGTTTCATCAGCTGCACCTCCGTCTGCAGGCGCTCGTTCTCCTTTTGGTACATTTCCGCTTCCTTTTGCAGCTTGTCCAGGTCCTGCAGCTGCAAGAGAACGGGGGTGGATTCAGTTAAGATCTAAAGGAAACGGCTCTAGAAACGGTGGGAAAACTATCTGGAAAACTATCGTCAACTCTGCGAAACGTGCTTTAATATGGGGATCTAGTCTTGATATCTTTTGTTTGCCTATCTCACAAACATCGTTTTAAACTCAAACATAATAACTGTTTATGAAGTTTAGTTAGAGGAATATAGCATTCCACAAATATTCTTAATCTAGTGTGTCCTCTACTTAATGTCCAATGATCAAATTGTAATTATGTAAATATGAGTTAAATAAGAATTAATATCTTAGCATTAATTACTTATTGTTTTGTATCTTTTAAAGTATTATCAAATAATTATAAATCTAAATGGAAATAAATAGTCTCGTGTTTATTTCGGAAGCAACCCAAATACATATATCTCAAGAGTTGAAGAGTTATTAAGATGATCTTTCTCTGGGTTCCTAGTTAGGTTAAATCATTAACCTGGGCTATCATTAATCATTCGACTCAAAGCGAAATTCTCATGCCCAGTATCTGATGGACTTGTGATGTATTTTTAAAAACCAAGACCGCGGTACTTACTGTCTGCCAAATCACGCCGCTGTCGGATCCGCTGGAGGGCGGCTGTGGGCTAATGGAGGGCGGGGCCGAGGACAGAGCCGAGTCCGTGTCCGAATTGGGATCCTTGGGAGGCAGGGAGAGCGCGGTTAATCGAATGCCAGAATTGACGCAATTTCTATGCCATGAGGCACTCACCTTCGACTTGGCTGCTGCCGGATGGCTGTGACTGTGACTGTGACTGTGGCTATGGCTGCCTAGCAGCGTCGTCATCCAAGTGGTGGCCCTCATCTCGTCGGGGGCCCTCATCCGCGTAGGAGCATCATCCAATCCATTTGGCTGACTGCTCTTCATTGTTGTGCGCATCTCGAGCGCTGATTTATGTGCATTTTTCGTATTGTTGATTAGCTCAATGTTCTTGAGTTGGGTTATCTGCGGGAAATGGATGGGGAAAAATTAGAAAATGTCGTGCCACAGTTACATTTATTCGCCACTTCATCACTCTCTATCACTCCATTTACCCACGTTTTCTTCGGGCGACCTGGCCCAGAATGGACAAAGCAATTAACAAAAGAATCTGTTTTTTATCTGCTCTTCGTGGCGCGTACATGTGTGTGCTATTATGTGGCTTATGCTATTTAAAGGGGGGCCATAAGAACCAAGCAGTTTGAAAAGAACGCTCCGCTTCGCGGTGTGCTCTTTACATGTGTGTTAACAGTTATGACTTGATTTCTTGCCACAGACACACTTTTCGCTCAAAAAGCGCCCGATCATCATTATGGACAGGTACAGGTTGTTTTGATCCGGACAATGGGTGCCACAGTGGGTCCCAAAAGTGGGTTCAATGACACGGTCGAGAGATCAGAAAGGTGCGTTTGAATCGCAGATTAGCTGGGCCAAGGCAGCGGTGCCTTGTATCCACTTCACTGTATCCACTGTACCAGCCATGATCCTCGTCGTGAATCACGAAACTCAACGCACTATTGAATTTACCATTCAAAAGATTTCGCTTTATCGCCGGGTCGCATCACGACTTTCATGGTCACGATGCCATCCATCTGGCCAGCTGTCAGCTAATTAGCCGCCCAGTCCAACGCCAACTTAACTCAAAAATCAAGCAATCCAAGCCGAACCCAGTTCAAAAAGCCAAATCACTTTCCAATCAAGCAACGCCCAGTTATGTTTACTTTCATGTCAATCGCATGTTTTATATAACACCCATAATAGCAGTGTTATTATACGCATAATGCTGCATTATGCTAATTTGTGGGTCTCGTTGGACATACATACGTTTGTGCATTTGTACATACATACGTGCCTGTGTTTGGGGCCGGAGAAATCATTAATCAATTGTGAAACGAGCTATAGGCACGTATGCCCAAAGGTTTCCAGAGAGCCAAGTGCGTCCAGTGCAATGACCAACGACCATCGCTTCATTTCACAACCGACCACACTGGGAAAAACATGTACGACTTTACTTCAGCAACCCAGAGCTAATCCTTAGATCACTTAGTCCGGACTGCACTGTATATAGGTCTCCAGTCTTTCATAACTATCTTGAGATCTTCACACTCTTACATTTGTTGCCTGGCTGATATAAACGATGTCACTTTTGTCTCACTAGGAATCATGTTCTTGGATCAGTTATGCTACTCCTGGAAGGGTTTTAAAGATGAATCTGTCGATTAGCAGCTCCAAGTGCAGAGGGACATTTGTACTCGTATGGTGCGTGAATAACCCGGGTGTGGGGCCAAAATGGAGTTGCCTTTGCTGGCGTTGGTGTCGCATGCCAGCACGTCTTCGATTGAAATTATCGGCTGCCGTGGAAGAGCCGGGCCCCGAGATTGCCGACCGATACTGACCACCAGACCGAGCTAACCGTTATGGTAATTTCTTGGATCGATTCCAGAAGAACTTTTTGCATAACGGCCGGTTAACGAACTCGATCAACGTGCTCGGGGCGATTAAGCAAGTGTCTGAAGCTCCGGGACCCATTCCCAATCCCATCCACAATTCCAATCCACGAACCTGAAGTTCGAGCCTCATTATTCAGGGGGACTTTTTGATGGCTCTATTGATGCCACATGCAGATTGCGCTAAATGCAGCGTCGACGTTGCGAGACGGAGATGCGCCATCGGGTCGATTTCAAACGCTCGATGGATTGTTTGTAAATCTGTCGGCAGACAGCCAACCTGCTGAGCCATATACGATGCGGAGATACCCAGATGCAGAGATACCCAGACACTCAGATACCAAGACACTCAGATACGCGGAGACTCGGATGCACATGGGTGTGTTTATGTCTCGCTGTCGGTTTGTTTGCACAAGCCGCGGGCCAAGTGATTGTGATTGTGTGAAATGATTTTCCTTTCCGCAGACAGCAGACAGGTTTCACTGCGATCGGCGCAACTGCCACTGCAACGCCACTCCATCTGCAGCTCCAACGTTCCGGGTTCGACTCCCCCGGTCCGTGGACGTGGACGTGGACGTGGACGTGGACGATTACGTGTAGCAGCATCAAAAGGCATCGCCACAGCCATGGCCAAGCTAATAGCATTGTCGTAGGGTTGCCTCCGGATCGATCAGATACTTCACTTTATCTTTCAACTTCAATTACTTGTGTCGTCGATATCAACTTGAACCAATTCTAAGGCTACTCCATTGACCCCAATTGTGTGTACCAACTAGCAGGCATGTGTATCTTCTTATATTTGCATTGGGCATTGTAATTCAGGTTTGGCTCTGCACAAAGGCACTGCTTTGATTTGGTCTTGCGAAAGCGAAAGTTTATACGCGCTAATGAATTATATTGTATTGCAGATGGTATATGGTATATGGTATCGGTAGGGCCAGCCAAGCGCAACTCCCCGCCGCTGGGATAAGCTAATTGAACTAATGAATGGACTTGTGGGGCCCAGTTGACATATATGCATTGCGTCCGCTAATTTGCATCGATATCGCCCAGCGAACCCGTGGATTATCCGGAGTGTCCAGCTGTGGCGATAGCCGACTTCCTCGACCGAAGTCCCACTTCAGTTGAAGTCGAAGTCGAAGTGGAAGCCTTTCCCTTTCGATCTGAGATACCACAGAGAGGTAATTATTCATCCGTCGCGGCCTCAACTGTTTTTGATGATGGCCCCTTTGTGCTCAAAAATTTGCAAGATTTTATAGACGCCGTGTGGCAGAAATGTCAGGCAGAAACCACTTTTGATATAGCCGATTGATAGTTAATCATCCGAGATGATCTTTTAATGGTTTTTGAAAGTGGATTGAATTGGGGCCGATAAGCTCCAGTTTTCGCTTTTCGTGCAGCTTACTACGCATTACATTTTATAATTTAATAAGTGTGTTTTGCGATTGGTGCCAGCTTTCGAAATGGAGTTTTATATTGATACTTGTATAAAAAGTTCGGAGTCTTAAAATTACCCAGTTTTGCAAGCAATTTGCTTTACAGAGAAGAGTTGTTAACAAAGTTATTGAAGTTACCGAATCCCTTATTGTATTCAGTGTACAAATAAAGTTAAAATTGGTTTGCAAAAGCCACCGAAAATCATTAGTTTTAACTAACCTTCAGTTGGCAGAGCGGAAACACCAATCTGAACAGTGAACCATGTCTCATTTGATTCCTTTCCCTTTTTAAATAGAACATCTTCGCTCGGCGAATTCTCGAGTCATAATCTATAAATCAGGCGCCACTTTGACAGGTGTATGAGCACTACGCCCCACCATTCCATTCCCATAAATCAGATTTCCCACACATAACTAATTGTCTATGGAGTACGCGTCGTATGAGCAATGCCCGTGAAATGAGTAACAAGTGCTACCAGAAATAGGAATCAGCTAATGGCTCATACTACGAGTATATGTTTGTTCGAGTATATATTTGCTCTGGCTTTGGCTTTTGGTCAATTACCTTGACATCCCTCCGGTTATAGTAGTAATCCATTGTCAGGCGTATTTATGCATTATTCCCGCATATGAAGGTGTGGATTTTGGTTGACAAAAACAGTTGGCCGCAATTTTCAAGCTTTCGTCTCTTTGATGGCGAATAGTTTTCACCGTGGTAATTTCACTAAAACATCGAAATTTATAGACACATTCCGGCAACGATCCGCGATTTGCATATGGTTCACATTTCCATTTCACACACCCCTTTTTTCTCTCTCATGTCGTTTATTTTTCTAGTTTTTGTTGTCTGCACACTTTTTGTGTTGTGATTACTTTGCATATTGGTCGACTAGCGTCTTGTTTTAGCAACATCATCATCACAATCATCATTACCATCCATACAATTCCATCCCATCCCATCCCATCCCATCCCATCCAATTCCATCCCATAGCTTTTACTGTCGTTTGGCGATGGCGATGGCGATGGGAAGTTGTGGATGACTAAATTTTTGCAGGCCGATGCGGCGCAGTCATACTCGTAGCAACGTATCGTATTTAAAATAGCGTTAACATTTAAAAGCTTTTCACTGACCCCAATTGGTGGTGTGCACACACACTCCCCACAACCACACACTTTTCCTTAAAGACTCTTAACTTGCAGGCGAGAGTGGTGGCTAGGTGGCTACTACACAGGCGAAAACATCAATCAATAAGGTGAAAAGATCAATATGCATGCAGCAAATAATAGCACAACGGCAGCACCTTGGCTACTGCAAATCTATTCTGTTCCTAATGTAGAATCATGATAATTGTCTGTTTTTAGCCCCTAAATGTAGACCTTTCTTCTACCACGGAAATTTTACCCTTGCAGTTGATTAAACCACATTTTAACTTGTTTGACAGTCGTTATAACTACATTCGCAAGGTACCAATATTACGTTCATTTTGTCACTAATTATATATACTTTTTATATTTTAAAGGTAACAAAAATGTGACTTGCACCTTTTGGGTGTCATTAAATGAATAAAATATTTTATGGGGCAGTTAATTGCGCACACACACTTAAAAGGTTCCCCAGGCTGTTACCCTTAAAAGGCAGCTATTTTAACGCTTTTGGTATACACTTTTTCTCTGGGTGCATTTATCGATGCCGCATTTAATTCTTGCTGCTGCTGGATGACATCGCTGACCGATTGTTGATGATGTTGCTGCTGCAATTTGCTATTTTGCTATTTCGCTATGCAAATGAAACCGCCGACTGCTAGAAACTGGCGCACTGGCCGACATCCGATCGCGGATTAAAGAGATCTGGCAGATGCGAGCCCCGATTTCGATTGCGAATCTGATCCATACCCATTCCAGATGCTACGGCTCGCTGATCTCGGGATCTTGGCTTTGGATGTAACAAATTCTCGACTACTTTGGCGGCAATAAAACAATTATGGGGAATAAAGCAGGGGAGATTAATGAACTGTAAAATCGAATTCGATCACTGGAACGTAGTGCGGCTATATGGCCACAAATTGCACGTTGTTGGCAGAAAGAGAGAAGACGGGGCAACGGTGTGAAAGGCAATTAATTTTGAACGTTTTTGGCATGTTTCACTAAACTATTATAGTGCAAAGTCGGTGAAATTATGGTTTCGTGTGCGTTAAACAATGCCAAAGAGAAAGACAAACTGCGAATCGGTTTTCCTATTCAAAAGGCAGCGATTGTTTGTGACGGCATGCATACACATCAATGTGTGGCATTTGGTTCCTTCATTTTCGGCATAGAAAATCAGACAATGCACCCCGATATACTCCGATTTTCATTAGCGCCCCTTTGAAAACCGCGCCGATTCTGGGCCGCGAATTTCACCTGATTATGCACCGCTTGAACTCGGATATATACCCATTTGATTTGTGCACTTCACTGGCTGTATGCTCATAGGATTTTGTATTATATAGGGGCACATATATGTATCTTTGAGGCACCTGCGACACCTGCGACCGCTGCGAACTTAAAAACCGAACTGACGGCCATTCATGCGAGCGGTAAACTCTCGAGCGGCGGGAGAGAAAGTGAGTGAGTGAGTGAGTGGTGCTAAAACCGGCTTGGAATCGTCCGCTCCACTCTCTTCATCGCTCTTTCTCTCTCGCTCTCGCCGGCGATCCACTTGCAACACTTGCGCTGCTGCAACTGCAACGCTGCAACGCTGCAACTGCCGCAGCAGGTTTTTTCTCACTTTTTTCCCTTTTTTCGTTTTACTTTTTTTCATGCCCACCGCTTATCGACGCGGCGATTGTTGTCTTTGCCATTCTCATAACTAACGCAAAATTATATCATAGATCATGCCAATAGTGCATAACCGCAGGGGTAAAAGATACAGATACTCGAGTACTCGAATACTGGGGCACCAGACAGCGGACGGATACATAGATACACTTGCGTCCCGAGCTACAGATACTGTATCTGGCCGAGCTCTTAACTTTTAACCCGACTCTCCGGCAAGTTCAAGTGCTGCCCCCACTCCAAAAAGCTAAAGAAAAAGGCCAAAGAAACAAAATACAGACTCACCTCAGGTGCAACTTGAGCCTGGCGTATGGGATTTTGCTCGGATATATCTGTATCTGTATCTGGTTCGGTTTTAGCTTTTGTTTCTCCCGCTGGCTTCGTAGTGGGTTTCTTTGGCTTTTGGCTCGTTTCGTTGGGGTTCGTTTTGGGTTTCGTAGTCGCTGGCACTTTGGCTTCATTCTGCTTCAGCTTCTTGGGACTCTGCAGTGCCAGCAAGTCCTTCCTCAGTTGTCCTATATTACGTTCTTTGGTCTTTATTTCCTCTAGCTGGAACAATAGGTTGCAGAGATTAATTAACCACAGACTGCACATATGAAGTTTAGAGATATACGTATGAGCATTCCTTTTCCAAAACACGGCAGTTTCAACCACAATTGGTCTAATATTTATGAAAGCCAATGTTTAGTGTCTCCTTTCAACCATATTTAGCTTAAAATCAACTTGTTGTGTATGTTTTTACGGGGATTAAATATTAGGTAACCTTATCCCATTAGTTTGGTGTAATTGTATATGGTTTTGCTAATTTAAACAACATAATTTAAACTCTCTCTGTAATAACAAAAAGTGTTTATATGAACGTTAAATCAACACGATATAAAGCTGATAATATGAGTACTTTATATCTGCTAGTTGAATATGACCTGTTTTCTTGCTGTGCAAACTCAAAATGCATGTATGAATTTCAATGGTGGTATGAAAAGTTGCCCGTCCGCTTCTGAACCGCCGGGTTCCGTTCCGTACCGCTTCGCCTACCCCGCCCCTCCCTCTACTTCTTTCGAGCCAACTTTTGGTGACCCGTTAGCAGCCGCTACGCACAACTTACCAAACGTGTTATTTCAATTTTGGCTGATTTCTGTATGTGAGTCAATCGGTTTTCGTACGCGTTCTTCAATTGCCGCATATCGGCAGCCTTGAGTCTATCAGCCTGCCCCATAATCTGCAAGAAATGGTCGAATCATACATGTTTGCGTGTTGCCAACTTCTTGGATACGGGGCTCCAAGCAGCGGGAGACACCAGAAGCAAGTTAATCCATGCTGTTAGTTTGCACTTTGCGATTAGGTCGCACACGTCCATTAACCAAACGAGACACAAAAACACACAAAACGCCACAAAAAGCGGGAAAGGAAAGTTCTTGCCACAGTCGAAGAATCGCATACCCTTTGTAGCGTAGCAGTTTAGAAACAGAAGAGAACGAAAATATTAAAAAAAACAAACACCCAAAGACTTTCACTTTACTGAGTTATATGTCCATTTCAAATTCATCGCATATTCTGCGGAATTAAAGAGGGTACCAGAACCTGAAGTTGAAACAGTATAGCAAACAATGTTTCTCTGTTAATTAGGTAATGAAAACTGTAGGCAGAGACTCTAAAAGGTCCTTACAGGGTATGAAAGTGCAGAAGATATTGCATAATATTTACCTTGCCGATATGGCAAGCATTAGGGAAATTGCTATATCGAAATTGGCTCTGGGTATAAAAACAAAGGTGTCATCCTTCTGCTCAAACAGTTGGCATTGCAATGCACATCCAGTGGCCATCCATCCTGCTCCTGGCAATCCTGGCAAATTTGGCCGGAACAGGGGAGAATCGCATTTCGGTTGATATGAAGAAAAGTTCCAACCTGATGGTCAAGATGAGCCAGATCCTCTGCCAGGCGCGGATTAAGGTCCTGTTCGTCTACTTTGAGAATCAAACCTTCCACGAGCATACGGGTCAGATACTCAGAGAGGTGACCAAGTGCGACATATCGTACATAGCTCTCAGGTAAGTTGATTATTTAATCGCATAACAATACTGAAAGGCGTTCACATTACATTTTCTATAAGTATTTGAATATTTTTTTTTCAGGAATCAAAACAGTCCACTGGAGGCGGTCAAGGATGATGGAATACTCATGTACATGGTGATGATCATTACAAACATATCACAACCACTGGAGCTTTCACTTATCCGGAAGAAATCGGCTGCCAAGCACCGATCGCATGTTTTTCTCTTGGTCAGAGATGCGGATACCGTTTCCGATGCTTGGATGCGGGCCAGTTTCCGGCAATTCTGGAAGATCTGGCTGCTGAACATCGTGATCCTCTACTGGCGAGACGGACGACTAAATGCCTATCGGTACAACCCGTTTATGGACAATTATCTGATACCAGTGGACAATAAACCCCATGAAGTTCCAACTTTAGAGCAGCTCTTCCCAAAGGCCATACCCAATATGCAGAGGAAACCGCTGAGGATGTGCATCTACAAGGACGATGTGAGGGCCATCTTCTCCAGGCAGGGAATTATCCTTGGGACCGATGGCCTGCTGGCGGCCTACGTGGCTGAGCGACTGAACGCGACCATGATGATAACGCGTCCGCACTCGTATAACAACCACAATCTCAGTTCGGACATATGTTTCCTTGAGGTGGCCAAGGAGTACGTGGATGTGGCCATGAACATCCGTTTCCTGGTCCCGGATACCTTCATGAAACAGGCGGAGAGTACGGTATCCCACATGCGTGATGATCTATGCGTGATTGTCCCGAAGGCCAAGACTGCTCCCACTTTCTGGAACATATTTCGTTCATTTGGCTCATTAGTTTGGGCTCTAATTCTGGTTTCTGTTCTGGTGGCGAATGTCTTCTGCTACATCCTGAAATCTGGAGTGGGTAGGGTTCCAATGCAACTATTCGCCGGTGCTTTGACTATGCCCATGACCCGGATTCCGCTGAACCACTCGCTCCGGTTGTTCCTGATATTCTGGCTTTACTTTGGACTGCTCATATGCTCGGCGTTCAAGGGAAATCTGACCAGCATGATGGTGTTCCAGCCTTATCTGCCGGACATAAACCAATTGGGTGCGTTGGCCAGGTCCCACTATCACATCATCATTCGTCCGAGGCACGTAAAGCACATACAGCACTTCCTGACCCTGGGACACAAGCACGAGTCCAGAATTCGGGAACAAATGCTAGAAGTTTCCGACACCCAGATGTACCAAATGATGAGGAACAATGACATAAGGTATGTGTTTACGTGGATCGATGTCAGTAATTCCATAAAAACTGCTTTCCTAGATTTGCCTATTTGGAGAAGTATCACATCGCCCGCTTCCAGGTGAACAGTCGTGTGCACATGCACCTGGGTCGTCCGTTTTTCCACCTGATGAACAGCTGCCTGGTGCCGTTTCATGCCGTGTATATCGTTCCCTACGGTTCACCCTACTTGGGTTTCCTGGACTCGCTGATCCGGAGTTCGCATGAGTTTGGATTCGAGCGATACTGGGATCGCATCATGAACTCCGCCTTTATTAAGTCGGGAGTGAAGGTGGTAAACCGTCGACGCGGGAGTGGCAATGATGAGCCGGTGGTCCTCAAACTGCAGCATTTCCATGCCGTATTCGCTCTTTGGCTGGTGGGGATCGGGATGGCATGTGTTGTGCTGGCCTGGGAGCACTTGACCCACAACTACAATTTGGCGGTAACAAAGCGGCGGCACTAACTATCGCATGCAACATGCAATGTGATGCGGATGATTGTGATGATGTGGCGTCCACTTACCTGGGTCTTCTCCTCCTTGTTTCGATTCGCTTCCTTCAGCACGGCAATCTCGTTAGTCAGTCTTTGGATTTCATAGTTGATGAGGCCATCGGCGGTCACATGAGCACCACTCGATTCTGGGCCCGATTCCATGGCCTTCTTTATACCGTTGCTCTTCTTGGCAATTTCCAGCGTGTGCTGCAGCTTCTTTACTTCACTCTTCCATCGCCGACTATCTGCGTCATTTTGAGCCCTGGGTCAAAAAGAGCGATAAGCTATATTAAATGTCTACACACATTTAAAAGATCAGATAACCAAAGTGTGACTATCATCATATAGTTTATATAATATCATCATATGTTAAGATGATCAAATGACACCACCAATAATATTTGAATGCTCTATTAAATATTAAAATATACGTAGCGAGATTTATAATCTTACATATGCATTGATTATTATGAATATACATTTCTTGGTTGACAGATTAAATTTCTGAGTTTACTGATTGTCAGTCGTTATTTTCATGAAAGGTCATTTATGGTTTCCATGCACAACTGTTCGTATTTAATAAAGATTGTCTTTTAAAACAAGATAGAATGCTATAGTCTGGTTTCCTGACTATCAGATACCCGTTACTCAGCTAGTGAAAGTGCAAAAATACTTGGACACTTGTAATGATCATGTTCGTTTTTGGTATATATCAATGGACTTACCTTAAGGCCCTCACTGCACCGCGTTCAGTGATCAGACTGGACTTCAGTTCGTTTACCTCCAGACGCAGCTGCTCCGTGAGGGCGTTTAGCTTCTGGATAGTGTCGATGTTCTCCTGCAGCTTCCTCTTGATCCTCTGTGGAGGTGCTGCTATCACATTTGTGGTAGTTACGCCACCAATTATTACGGGTCGTTCTCGATCTTTCTCTGCCTTTCCCATTTGCTTTTGGGATGCTGTAGATGGGCCCTTCTCGGCCTCAAAGGACTGCGTATCCTTGGGTCGCAATTTGCCGCGACAATGTAGCTGGATGCCCTCGATGCGGGTGCGCTTCTCCTGATTCACCGTATCCCCCACGGAAGTCAGGGAGCTGCTCAGTTTCTTCTTGCGCTTCAGCTTGTTCTTGGCCATCGTTTGCCAGTCTTCGATATCGTGCTTCTCCGTCTGGAAGCTCTCCTTGAGTTTGGAGCCAGGATCCGTCCGGCGGCCCACAGTCCCATTGTGGGGCGCCAGGATATGGGCGGTCCTGCTCATATTACATCCCTTGCTAGAGGTCGTTTTTGTTTGGTTTTCAGCCATTTTTATGTAACTTTAGTATATAAAAATGTTGCCGTCGTTTTTTTTTTGGTTTCTGCTTTTTCAAGTACTGCATATGCGGTGCACTCCGACCCTGCCGAAAGTCCCTGCTATACTTCACCTGGTCATCGTTGGATTCTCTTCAATCTGTAAACGATATGTTCGAAATAAAGTATACATTGAAGTTTGCTACCATCTAGCAAAATAAAAAGGCTTTATAAAATGAATGACATAAAAAGAACTTATTCAACTTATTATAAAAGATATGCCTTGAAAAAGAATACAGAATTCCGAGTCTTTTCCCGCATGGAGGTTGTTTCTTCAGAATCGCAAAGATTCCCCTTTGTCTGTCAGCATTTCAATGGCTTCTGTTTAGCCGTTGACTCTTCGACGCGTTTCTCCACTGGGCTGAACTAATCAACAAGTTTCCCCCATTATTGATTTCAGCGGAAAAGCTTTTTCCTTCATTTCGCCACAACGGGTCGGGCCACACATGAATGAAAAAAGAAACATATAGGCACCCTGGGACTGGGAAATAGTTTACAACGCCAATTGCGTTGGGCTTTCCAAATAAACTGCTCCCGAATGGCCTTTCTTAATGACGTCATGAGGCGCGCCTTTGGAATAGAACAGAATATGTACATATGTACATGTGTTTTTTGAGGTTCCCCTCTGGGGCTCTTTACACGCAATAAAACCGCTTTTCATTACTTTTTCTGTTCTAGAGCAGAATTCTTAGCATTGCTCCCACATCCGCCCCAAAGATTATACCATCTATATATACTGTATGAGGTGCACACACGAGTAGGCCCTCAGTTCATATGTTCATAGAATGCTCTCGGAGATTTCTGTCCGATCATCTTTATCAAGGCCACGATCTATATACACAGTATACGAGCGACAGATGTGTGTACTTAGCAACCTTATGGCGCTTAATTGGGATGTGATTTGTTTTTCCAGCTCGCTCCATTAGGTGTTAATGGGGAGGGATTTAAAGTAGGTGGTGCCAAAGTTTATTACTGTTTGGTTAACAATATAAATTATAAGTCGAGGGGGAAAAACTTCTGGGGCTCTGTTTGTGTGAACTTTCTGAAATTACCATTGGAATCTTGAAACAAAACTTATGCAGTTTAAATAAGTCAGTGGAAAATACTACCCTTAATCATGTTACACTGTTGCACAGTGTTCGATATATTATAAGTAACACTTATTTTGTGGTGTAGGACTGTACGATTGTACGTTTATGTTTCGTATTTCTGTAGGCTGAAGCACTGGGGTAATGATGGCTCTCATGTTGCATTTAATTTAATTAAATTTAAAACCGCTACCCCCAGTCAACTCGTTAATAAAGTGTTTTTGGGTCGACATACACGCCATGGTGACATCACAGCCTCGGTGTCACCGGCTTGGATGGGATTGGTTTTTGTTCGAGCGAAGCCACCCACTCGATTTCCATCCACATCCACAGCCATCCACATGGGCAGATGAAAGTCTCTTTTTTGCTCTTTAAGTATGTATATTTTCAGTCATATATCAATTTGAAAATATTGCCAAACGATGAGTCGGACAGCCGTCGAGTGTACAGTCTTTTGCTTTTTGGCTGATTCACTGAAGATCACGTATACGCACCATTAGCTCTGAAATCCTTGGGCGTCGTAGACCAACAGTTGGCGTGCCTTAAACTTCTGTATTTATTTATCCACTCACTCACTCACTCGCCCGACAATGTTGTAATGTAAACAGTTTATTTACTGCCTGCTTGCCACTGTTTCTTGCAGTGTAATGACGTCAATACGTTAATTTTCAATACACTTTTTTCGCGCACAAACCAAATAGAATATCGTCGGTATGTGGAGCACTTCTTCGACAATTGTTTAGCAAAGTATCCTATATTTTTGTTCAAGTATTAACACTGTTCGCACAGGAAGTTCGCAATAATTTCAAGTAGTTACACAAGTTCGTCGGAATAGCAGTGAGTTATGTTCGGTTCGTTTGGGGAGTATATTAATTAGTTGCAATCAATTTAAATAGTAAATGAAAAGAAGTGTTCTATACTAGGTAAATTTCGTTTGCTCGGCGATAGCAGAGATCTTTCGTTTCGGCCGGACACCGATTGACTAACTCGGCCTCTCGAGCTTTCGCAAGCTCTTTCACATTTGCCTCCATTTCCATTTAATTAAAAGGAGCTTTGCCATTTACTCATGCACTTCTTGGGGTTACGGGGTGGTAAAGCTCGGGTCTATGTGCGTGCCCCAAAGAATGGCCGACGCAAAGCCGGAAGAGTCAATCTATTGAAAGCCAAAGATGTTTTCCTCCCGGTTCCCGTATTCGTAACAAAAACAAACCAGTCAGTCGCTTGTTATTAATAATCAAAATGTGCACACACCCGCCTCGTATTTGGTCAAAATAACAAAACACTGAAATAAATGGTATCGCAACTTTAGATTGATTGGATATTAATTCGGTATACGTATGATATAGATATGATATGGCATTGATAGCTCGGAAAAAACTTCAATGGTAAAAAATTCATTGTTATAAATACTTTGTTATAAATACTTCCGCATGGTTTAGATGGATTATTTAAAGTTATATCAGCACAAAGCGTTTGTGCTAGTTTAGGTTAAAGTGCAATCTGAAGACGTGACATTAATGCTGTTTAAACGTGCCTCTATTATTGTATGTTGAAGACCAGAACTAAATACGTTTGATAATAAACATGATAGCAAAACATTTCAGATGATTTAAAAAACCTTATTTTTATGGCGATGAAAACTGAAAAAAAAATTTGTTAAATTCCCCTTAATGCCAAACGTATTGCATATTAATATCTTCATATCTATGAACCCCGACAGCTGAAACTTCACAAATCACATACAAATTTGACAATCGCCTTAACGACGCGATGAATGATGGACACAATTAGAACACATTCCAATTCCAGTCTGTCAACAGAGTGGAAATCTAAATACAGGCACAAAAGGGGAACAAACTTGCACTTTGATTTGAGTGCCTTATCATATGGGAGCCACAATGAACATTATTCTTTTTCTTACTCACTTTTTGCATATCTCTTAGTCGGATTTGTTTATTTGATTTGTTTCGTAATCACTCGGCGATTGTCTAGTATCCGGTTAGTATCCATTGGCATCCATTGTGGTTCGATGTCTTCGTTGAGAGGAGTCTTGGGCAACTAAAATTCCAATTCCACATGACCGAATTAGATTTAGACTGCGTGCTTTCATTTGAACCTATTTTCGGTTGAATGTTCTAGCGTTTTGGCCTTTAAATGACTCTTTTTATTTTCCATTTAATTGCTGCTCGGTGCACAACTCACTCAAGTTGAGCGGTAGGAACAAACTGAAGATGCGGCGCACTTTCTAAAATGGAATAAGCGACATGCATGCGTGCATCGCCAAAATTTTATAAATAGCAGGAATCACAAATCTATATTTGAAGTTGGGAGCAATTTCAAAAAACCGCTCACCAGTCAACAGTGACGTCATGGAGCCATCGATGACTTTTTCGATAACTACTACCAGTTGCATTTAATATTGTGTAAATATCAAAGGTTTTAAGCGCTCAACATTCGACTCCATTAAAATATTTTTAGTTTATTTAAGAACATTGCAAATTGACAACTTAGGTAACTATATACATTATAGTATAAATTCAAGGAACTTCCTAGGATAGAAATAAATAATTCCATTTGAAATCTATTAAGTTACAAAAACACTTTCCTATTGAGTTAGGATTTCAACTTTCGCTCAAAAGTGCGCCCAAGTCCCGCGCGAACGTTCACACTGGTCGCGAACATCGATTGAAACCAAAATAACATCGATTAATCGATTGGCCCATTACTCATCGCGGAAAACGTGAACGAAAAGCAAGTTGCCGCCTGTCTGCTAGGAACTTTATTGTTTTAAACTGTAATACGACCTAAAGGCCAACCCCATCACATAAATATGGTAAGTCCTGCCGCAAATAATGCGAGGATAGCGAGGGGAACCCCTATCATGGACTCCTCTGCAAGCGGCATGCGATTGTAAACATAACCTGCAAAGAAGCTTCTCGCAAGCCGACGACATCTGCTGACTAATTGGAGACTTTTAATATATTATTTTGCTATATCCGTATGATCCATAGCAACCGCAAATCGTGCTCCTCAAAGAAGGCACCGACACGTCGCAGGGCAAGCCGCAACTGGTGTCCAACATCAATGCCTGCCAGTCGATCGTGGACGCGGTGCGGACCACTTTGGGTCCCCGCGGCATGGACAAGCTGATTGTGGATGCCCACGGTAAGGCGACGATCTCCAACGATGGAGCCACCATCATGAAGCTGCTGGAGATCATCCACCCGGCGGCCAAAACCCTGGTGGACATTGCCAAGTCACAAGACGCCGAGGTAAGCGATTGGCCCCCCTAAGAAGCCAAGCACGTGACACAGCTAAAGCTTTGTTTCACCTTCTCCTTCAGGTGGGTGATGGCACCACATCCGTGGTTCTGCTGGCCGGCGAGTTCCTTAAGCAGGTGAAACCGTTCGTGGAGGAGGGCGTCCACCCGCGAGTTATTATTAAGGCCATCCGCAAGGCCCTGCAGCTCTGCATGGAGAAGATCAACGACATGGCCGTCCAGATTGTCGAACAGTCAAAGGACCAGCAGCGTGCACTCCTCGAGAAGTGCGCTGCCACTGCCATGTCCTCCAAGTTGATTCACCAACAGAAGGACTTCTTCTCCCGTATTGTAGTTGATGCTGTGCTTTCTCTGGATGAGCTGCTGCCCCTCAACATGATTGGCATTAAGAAGGTGACCGGCGGCTCGCTGGAGGAGTCGCAGTTGGTGTCGGGCGTGGCTTTCAAGAAGACCTTTTCTTATGCCGGCTTCGAAATGGCCCCCAAATCCTATGACAACTGCAAAATTGCCCTGCTCAACATTGAATTGGAGCTGAAGGCAGAGCGCGACAACGCCGAAATCCGCGTGGACAACGTCAAGGAGTACCAGAAGGTGGTCGACGCCGAGTGGCAGATCCTCTACAACAAGCTGGCCAAGATCCACGAGTCCGGCGCCAATGTGGTGCTCTCCAAGCTGCCCATCGGTGATGTGGCCACACAGTATTTCGCCGACCGCGACATATTCTGCGCCGGCCGCGTTCCCGAAGAAGATCTTAAGCGCACCATGAAGGCTTGTGGTGGAGCCGTCATGACGACGGCCAACGACATTAAGCCCAATGTCCTCGGTCTGTGCAAACACTTTGAGGAGCGTCAGGTGGGCGGTGAACGTTTCAACCTCTTCCAAGGTAAGAATCTTATTCGTATACTTAGTTCTTTGCCTTCGTAGATGATTCACTGTAACGAGCACTTGTTATTTTCTATTATCAATAGGCTGTCCCAATGCCAAGACGAGCACCCTTATCCTGCGTGGCGGTGCCGAGCAGTTTCTAGAGGAGACTGAGCGATCCCTACACGACGCAATCATGATCGTACGCCGCACCATCAAGCACGACTCCGTAGTGGCCGGTGGCGGTGCCATTGAGATGGAGTTGTCCAAGCTTCTGCGCGACTATTCGCGCACCATTGCCGGCAAGGAGCAGCTGCTGATCGCCGCCATCGCCAAGGGCCTGGAAATCATTCCTCGCCAGCTGTGCGACAACGCCGGATTCGATGCCACCAACATTCTCAATAAGTTACGCCAGAAGCACGCCCAGGGTGAGTGTCCAAAAATATTTTCCCATACAAAGCCACCTTAATCATGAGTGAATTCGAGATTTATATTTGAAAGGGGGGAACGATAAATTTTTATTTTAAAGAACTTGTGTATGAAACTTGAACCAAAGAACATTTGTTCTTATGTAACAAATTGTAATCTATTTTGAATCACTTCGTCCAATTAGCTGTCCGTTTACTTCTTGAGCTGCTCATGCCAGAGCAGGAAGCAGGGTTCCTGGCATAGACCCGGCTTATCGGGACAGGTGTTGCACATGAACTTGCTGAACTGCAGCATTCCGCCTTTGTGGCAATAGCGGCAGTTTTTCTTGGCCGGCTTTCCATTCTGCTGGATAACCACGGGCTCGTGAAGAATGGGCTTCATCCTGGTCTGGGGCACCGGTTTGTTTTTGGACCCTTCATATGTCTCCGGCTTCTGGGGACTAACTGTTAGCGGTTCGTTCGTCACTTCTTCTCTAAGAAGAGACTTTATTATGATCACCCGGAACTCCGAGTAACTTTTTAGATGTCCGACTCGCGCATTCTGGCCATTTGCAAAGTATAGCAAATAGGAATTGTACACGAGGATGTTGAGTAGGAAAATGGTCAGCTTCTTCTCCGCCGTCAGCTCCTGGCAGGCAGCTTGGTAGTGGATCAGGTGGTGGCGACCATCGTTTCCAGGACGTAGTTGAAACTCGAGCTCCTGGATCAATTTAGGTTTTGCATTTGTCTTCTGCATGGCCATCTCTTTGGAATAAATGGCCAAGCAGTCGGAGCTGAAGAAGTACAAGCTCTTTGCCCGTCGTCGCCACTTGGCCATCATCAGTGAAGTGGCATAGCTGGTGGAGATGCTGTTGGAATCCAACCGCTTGTGCACGAGTGCCTTACTGTTGCCATATCTATTCCTGTCCAGCAGACCAGTGCAATAGATGCGTCTCTTAGCCAACTCCTGAGCCAGGCCATAGCTTCCATAGAACTTCGATGCGTACACAGTGCGTCCTCCCTGGTAACCCTCCATTAGTTTTAGGGCAATCTTGTTCCGGTGCTCCACCAACTGGCGGGAATTGCGTACCCATGCCGGTGCGTCTTCCTTCCGCACAATCTCCGGCAAAAGCTTCACCACCAGTCCGCTCTGCTCGGTTAGCATATGCAGCAGTAGTGAGTTGGTGCGGAATTTGTTGGGTAGATCCCCCTGTGAGCTTAAAGTTCCTTTCCACAGAGTGATAGGTTCATTCAGCACCAGTTGCTGGCCACAAATATATATCTCTTCCATGCGTTCGTTGATAAAGTCTAGCAGTGGAAAGTCCCTTAGTTTGGTATTGTCCATTTGTAGCTGCGGTGCATCAAAGTTGAGACAGTGCAGCAGCTGCTGATACCGTTCCAGGGGCATCTTCCCAGAGAATCCGACGAGACCGTAGAACATGTTAATGCTCCAGTAATCCGAAAGATGCTCCAGCTTCAGGTCACACATAAGCAGCGAAAGGGCCATAAAGATTTCCATTTCTTCGGGAGTTGTGGGCTTGGACTTGAGCTCTCCTCCCTTTAGGTTGCAGCTTTGGGCCAGGGAACAGAAAAACTTGGTGCGGTTTCCCAGCAGTTGGTTGAAGTAGTGCTGCGGTCCTTGGAAGCGTTGTCCGAATTTTAGGCCAGTTTGCTGGATGTTAAACTTGAAGAGTAATCTGGAGCCCGCTTGCTGGCAGCTCCAATCTGGATCGTAGTCATCCGTTTCGTCTGGTTTTTGAAAGGGAAAGGGAAATTATGTAAGTTAGGGATTGAGTGGAGGGGAGGGACACCTACTAACCCTGACAGAAGACATCTGCCGCTTGGTAATCAAGCTCCGAGTAGCCATCCTCGTCGGAATCGCTCTCTTGCTGCTCCAATTCTAAACGAACGGTAGTGGTGGCCGCCTGCTGCTCCGCTACCATCTGCAGTTGGAGTTCAGTGAGATCCGGCTTGATATCGGCCGTACTTAAATCGTAGTCTGCTAGCGCCGGATAGCCGTCCAAGGGTTCCGTCTTGATATCCACACTGCGCCGCTTCACCGGCGACCGGTGATCATCCTGGCGCGGCTTCAGTTGCTGTTTGCGCTTTCTCCCGGAGCTGGACATTTCGCCCGATGCGTTTTCTTTTCCAAATAATGTAAATACAGCGGAAATTTCAGTCGCAGCAACGCGTGTTTTTCTTCGACCTCTCTGTTCTCGCTCTCTCTCACTCGAGTGACATGTGCTGTATAGTGTGCTCTTTCGCACCTTCTCAATTCGTTTATTGCGCGGGCTGTATGCGGCGTTGCCACGTGGGCGAAATGTTGCCTGCGAAAATCGTTGGCGAATTCAAATCGGTAATTTGATTTTAAAATTGAATTAGTATTTAAAATATACCTTCGACCACGTTTTATTAAATTAAATTATTCAACATCATGTACCGTTAAAATTTTCAGATTTTATGTTCACATTAACAAGTTTTAAAGCTAAACCATACCTTTTATTTGACTTTATTGCAGGAGGCCAGTGGTTCGGCGTTGACATCAACAAGGAAGACATTTCGGACAATTACGAGCAGTGCGTCTGGGAGCCGTCTATCATCAAGATTAATGCACTCACGGCTGCCGCCGAGGCTGCCTGCATGATCCTTTCCGTCGATGAGACAATAAAGAGTCCCAAGGCCGGAGAACCCCCTATGGCAGGCGGTGGCATGGGAATGGGCCGCGGAATGGGCAGGCCCATGTAAATAGAATCATTCAGAAATCCAGAGAACACTACACCCTAATCATCAAAACTCACTTGCATTTCTCTCCTAATTTAACACGTACACGTATTACTCGGTCATACCTTCGCATTTCGCACGCTTCGAAGCAAGAACAACAGCAACAATAATCCACTGACCTATCTGTATATGTTTAATAATAAAACACGAAATTGAAAATTGTATTTTCATAACATACAAAACGTTTTTAGTTTAAATCCAGGGCGAGTTGGCAGCTCTGGTGGTAGTGCTGTTAAACGGTTTTCGTGCTGTTAAGCGCAAGCAACATATTGTTAATCCAATCCCATCCCGAAAATAAACAATAATAATGGGCAATCATAAAGTTCTCCGATCGGCGGGAAACAATTTGCGTTACTCTATGTACGAGTTCATTGACGCGGTACACAAACGATCTATCATATGGGAACGAAGCCATCCGAGCTTCCACAATCGAGAACTCAGAGATGAGGCCTGGCAGCAAATTGGCCACGAGCTTTGCGCGAATTTTGACGACTCCACCGAGCCGGAGAGACAAGAAATAGGTGGGTGCTGCCCTAAACATTATAGTGAATACCATTCATGGCTTCCAATTCCAGTTAAAACTCTGCTTAAACGATGGAAAAATACGAGGGACAGCTACTTACGGGTCAACCGGCTACGTCAAAGTGGCGAGGAAGTGGCCAGAGCTTCCTATATCTACGAAAAGGAACTAAGTTTCCTTCTGAACGTTAAAGCGGAATCGGAGGATGATGTGGAATCCATGAAGGAACAGCCCAAGCCCCAGGGCAAACGGAAAAGAGTGAGCAATGCCGCACAGAGATCTGCAAAGACTCTACGAAAGAGAAACTCCGACCAGGAATCGAATCTCGAGCACGAAATCCGCAACCAAGCCATTCCCGACAACCTGAACACGGTTCTGGAAGATCTGGCCTGCACAAAGGAGGACACCACTACTCCGGAGATCGTATATATTCCACAGTTACCACCAGATCCACCTTGCAGTACAAATACCGCCCACTTGTCCGCCGATCCTGATCAGGCCTTCTTCGACACCATAAAGCCGCATATGCAACAAATGTGCGCCGATCGCAAGCTCGACTTTCAGATCGAGGTCCTGAAAATCCTACGCAATTTCAAGCCGAATTGAAAATTCGCCACAGAAATCAAATCATTTGTTGTTCTGCATTTACATGGAGAGCAATACTTTTAACAGCAAGTTAACATATGCAGTAAAAACATAGTTAATCGTTATCGTGCATCGTCTAATGTTTAGGGCGCCAAATTTGAACACTGTACTGTAATTTGTAATTTAAAATACAAACAATAATATTCACAAAAGAGTGGTTAAACTTTAACGATACTGATTGCATCAATTATTATTTAAGTTTTAAATTACACTGCAAAAAATTGTCTCATTCTTACATTTGTGTTCTGTGCAAAGTATGTATATAGTAATTAAATGTTTACTTTTATAGTTTCGATAATGATACTATTTTTAGTATCATACATAACTTATACAACTATAGTTGAAGAGTTACTTAGTTAAGACAATGAAATATTCTTAAGAAATAAAATTTTTAAATAAAATAAGAAAGGCACATTTTAATTTGCTTTCCAAAGCAAATTCTGAGTAATAGATTTACAACAAGTATTTATATGTATATATTGTACATACGAGTGTGTACTATGGATGCATGCACATTGTCCACATGTGTAATTGATATTTTTACACAAATCCTCTGTTCTGGTTTCATCCCCTTAGCCGCTACTTTCGTGGGCCGGATGCTGTCTCAATACATATTTATCGCCTGCAGCGAAATTTTAGTACAAACATAAACTGTCAAAAAGATACATAAGCCATCGGATGGCCCATGGTCCAAAGCCGTTCGACCAGTTTCGGCTGATGTTGATAAAAAAAAGAGCTTAAACCTGTATTCATACAGCTCGTCCCTCTTATGCCAATCGAGTTTTCATTATGTATACCGATTTCTTCATGGTTTTTGCTCAACACAAAGGCAAATTTATGGATTGTACGAGTGTATTTATAAGTCGACACTCCAGACGACACCCCTAAAAAAGAAATCGCTGAAAACCGTTAAGGAAGCCATAGGGGTAACTCAGAGATTTGGAATCGGTGTCGCCTTTCAAGCGTTCCACACTGCTTGGAACTCCCTGAGTACCTCCTATGGGGGGTACGAAATCGTTACCCCGAATACCCGCCCCCACACTCCACACGAGAATTGGTACTCGTAACGTCCTGATAATGCTGTTCTCCACGGGATCGCCCCATCCCATTTCCCACTTAACTGCATATGGTATTTGTTAGTGGTTGTTTCGGGTTTCGGGAATGTTTGTCTGCGATCGGGAACCTACCCTCCACTTCACCCATTAGCAACGGCTCTGGCAGCTGTTGTGCGCTATTAAACGCTCCCTTAGATCCTCGAATCCGGCTACCTGCCTCTGCTGAATGGAAATGCACTGAGAACTTTTTTGTATTTTCTTTATTAAGTATTTGTTGTACTGATAAGTACTCTACTTATCTCGCTAGAATTGTTTTAGCCAACAATCAATACACAAAAATGATTGCAAGTGCAGTTTCTCTGTAATAAATCAAATAAAAATCTAAAAGAATTTGTCATTCCTGTAAAGTACTTATTTATAAAGATCTCCTACGTTTCTATATATGTATGTCTATCTATATCTAAATTTATCGCAGTGTACAAAGGCATTCCCAGCGTGTGTAACGTACTTTCCAGCCTTAACGAAACGGGCATTTAGGGGATTGAGGGTCTTCTACCCCTCGAATTGGTGGTCCCCTCGCATACCTGTAGCAATTCTGGGCATTGCAGTGAAGTCGAATAATAGACAGGAAGTCCCTTCGATGCCTTTTATTCCTTTCAAGGGCCGAGCCGCTCTAGTAGATCGTGGTGCAGCGATTGTCTCGACCAATGATGCTGGTCTTTGTCCTATGTTATCCTAAAACTATGTTCCTAATATGGTCGGCAGGACCAAGAGCCCTATGCAACTGAGCCCGACTCAGGTGGAGTTATCCAGAAGAACCACCTGCGTGTTTTGGTATCTTCGCCAGGCGCTCTCCGCCCTTTCCAAGTATTCACCGATCTCCTGTCGCTTGTTGGGAAGGTCGTACTTCTCCAGAGCTAGCTTAAGGAGTACGTACTCCAGGCTGCGGATGCCTCCGAGATTGATTGGATCCCTTAGGTTGTCTACCAGGGCAACGAATTTCTTGAGCAGCTCCACCAACTGCCCAAAGTTGCTCAAATCTTGCAGTGCAGCATCCACCTCGTTGACGTATCGCATACTCTGCTTAATTCTCCTGGCCAGATCGGCGCTCCTGCCAACCAAAGGTGATAGCTCCGTATTCAGCTGTTGCACCGATCGGCGCGTATCGATCACCTTCTGCAAAGTATCCTGGTTATACTGATCCTGATCCGTCCACTGGGTCATTGGAGCCTTGGTAGTAGCGCCTTCGTTGTCCACCATAGATATCCGATTGTTCTCCACAACAATGGTCTTGTCAATGGTCGCGCTCACATTTGGGGGCTGCATTACGTGGAAATCCAGGGTGAAGTGGAACCGCATGCTACCCTGTAAGGATGCGGATTTGGTTAGGAAACATCCCGAAAACTTGCACAATCAAAAACTACCTGGACCAAAGTAAATGGTGCTAAGAAAACCAAAATAGTCGTAGAGGACCACATCTTGCCGCCGAACTGAGAAATGTTTGACTGACTCCAAGCTGAAATCTCACGATCAGACCACTTCATGCAATCCAGGCTCGACATCGCGGCCTATCAAGCCGCGGGGTTATCACACATCGTTCCCACTTGACCGATAACAGATCCATTCAATGAGTTTTCTAGCTATAGAAACCAGACGGAGCCCTCGGTGGGGGGAGAATTTTCCATTGCCAGACAAACAGCAAGTCACGTGGTCGCCGAGATGAAAAGTTAAAACAGTGAGGTGAGCGATTGCTAACATAAAACCATTTCAAGGTGCTTGGAATAGCATTTCAATTGGTTGAGAGGTTCGTATTCAAGATGACCTCTCTGGAAACTAGTAAGTTCTTTGAACCTGTCGAGGGTACACAGAAATAAGAATAATCTTCAACTGACTAAACGGATGTCATATATGGCCTATTAATATGAATTAGTGGAATACAGACGGCAGTAAAACAATGAGATGCCATTATTGTGGGGACTTGGATCTGAATGCAGTTAATATTAATTAGCTGTTATGGATTGATCCATGCCCATAAAGCTCCCACTTGGAATACAAATGTAAGCAATTTAAGGAAAAAATGTTTGGAATACATATACATATATTTATCCACTGAGCAACGTCGTAAACTTAATACATCTGATATAAAAGATTCAATGGGCTTTAATGGCCCGCATGGATATTTGGAGTGCGTGAATCATCCACCTTTTTTTGGGAACTTATTTCACAGAGTCATTTCCGTTATGAACTCAGCCGAGTTTTGACTCTCTAAGGGCTAACATCTGCTCGAATACTACGCTTATCAGCCGTATCCGTCTGAGGTAACAACAACCACTCTTATCACCACACATATGTGCTGTTTACGCGTGCAATAATAATTATAATGTACACAGAGCCACAGCGATAAGGTGCGAATGCTATCAGAGTCCGCAAGTACCCCACATATAGTATAGCACACAAAGTCGGATGTTTGTTTGTGCGAAAGTATGCCTTAATTTAGAAAATGGTATCAAAGCAAAGCAAAAGCAAAAGCAAAGCAGGGCAGTCCATGGAAGCGAAGCCATGGCGATAGGGGCAGGCCAAAGAAAAGCATAAAGTGTGGGAATAGGAATGGGAATCAATAGTAGAAATTGCGCAGCAGATTCAAATTATTCCACTGCCTGAAAATAACAAAAATCCAAAAGGAAGAAAAAATATAATAACCGTTGACACACACTCACATGATTTCCCATAATATATTCACAATTCTTACACATAAAAAAACTGTTGATATATTTAAGAGCTCATAAAAATAACACAAAATTCAAGTGGAGTTACTCAGCTGGTAATTTTCTGAAAAAAGTTACTTATAGATAACACAGTTTGCCAACGAAACTACAGCAATAAATGAAACCCCAATAGATGAAATATTTATAGCTCATAACTACAATAAAATGCAGTACCGACGTTCACTTGGAATAAATATTTTCTCTTGTGTGCTTAACTTATTTTTATATTTAAATTTTTTATATTCTTCCTCGCCATTTGCGTACTTCGCACGCACATATACATACATACATACATATGGGCGTACAAAAATACAGGGGAATGGGGATTGGGGATTGGGGCCTGGGAACAGGGGGACGTAGGAGGTGGGAGACCAAGGGGTCGTCCGAGACCAACGCACAAAACTTGTAAATACGAACGCCACCCATCCCGCTCCGCCAGTATCTCCATCCCGCTCGGCACACAGCGCGTGTGGCGGCACAACGTGAGCGTTCGGATGTGTGTGTATCTTACAGATACCAATTGCGTAGATACAGATACATCTACGGACCCAGTTCGAGACCAGTGCACGCAACTTTTTGTTTTGCCTCATCTCGTTTCGGATACCCCGCATAGTCCGTTCGCCAAGAAAGGGTATATTGGGCGAAAACATACCCGTTCGTATTTAAAATGATTTTGTAATTAGCTTAAGAACATATTTTGTATCCAGAAATTCAAAGTTACAATGTAATGTACACTGAAATGCAGCCAAAATGCCAATCAAGGGGTATGAACGTTTCCATTAAGTCACGTTTCCCCATGATTTATGTATATGTAGTCTTTTCTTTAGCTCTGGGCTTTTATTTTTATGTTTGCAATCGCAAATTCGAACGGACGTGAGGGAAAGAGGCGAAGTATACCCCTTTACCGGCCATCCTCTCTGAAATCCACTATCGCCGCCGCCATTTATCGTTTGCAATTAGCTTAAGCAAAGCGCCATAAAAATAAAAGAGTAGCCACCAAAAGCAAAATAAAAACAAAATTGTTTACGCTTTTGATTCGCCTTAAGTTTGAGTGTAGACATACAGACATCCATGGCAACAAATATGGGCAGCACCTCTTGTCGAGTTTGAATACCACAATGCACGATTGCCTCGACTACCGGATACCCATAAATATAAAAGTTATATCTAAATATTTACCAGATTTATTCAAGTTTTGAGTTTTAATACCAATTCTGTTGAAATATAGTGCTTTTCGGCACTACGTAAACACCATCCGCCGTTATACATACGTTATATACACGTACATATGTATATAAGAACGTGTGCATATATTTCTCGGGGGTGGCCTGAAAACCGTTGAGAGCATAACAAAAAAATTAAAGAGTGCGGGTTTCAGCATAAAACGAAATCAACGGGGAAAACCGCTTTCGATGCTCAAATACGGACAACCATACAGTTATTGTCTTGTATTCGTAGTCATTGGACTCGATCGGATATGTGTAGTACATATGAAGTACAAACATAATGATACGTACATACTGTACTGTATGTACTTCAGAGGTAGCGAAGCGGTAAACAACGACACCGAATTCAAAACCGAAGCCCATTGCCAACATAGTGTGTTGTCTGTGAATCCAGTTTTCTTTTGCGACATCGTTTATAAAGAAATCCCAAAGCGGCGAGCTAAAAAACCGAAACATCAAATGCAGAGAAACAAAAGCCAACAATTGGGTGGATGATTCATGCCATCCAAAAATGAAAACATTTTCGGTGTGTATCAAAGCACGTTAAAAGAGATGTAAATGGGACCTGGAAAAAAGTATACAAATTTCGCACATATTTTTTAGAAAACCGATATTAAAACGTGTAAAGCTGCAGCATATTTGTTCTCTGTGGAGCGGTAGGTGCGAGATGAGGTGACTCGAAGCACGTTCACCGCTCGCAGCTCGGCGTCTGTTTTTTCTTGGAGCAACCTCTAGAGAAATCCACCTAGATAATACTAGTTTGTACTGCCAGTGAGTCACATTCGTGTTTTGCCCACTTACCTCTGAACTAAACCGATCCAACAGCTCTCGCCACTGTCCTCCTTCTGGGATCGCCACTTTTCTGGGGTTCCATCGAAGAGACGGGCACTTACTTCTCGCCAACTCGCAGTATCCCTAAATCCATCCACATTCTCTTCAACTTTGTGCAATTTTCCAATCAGCCAAGCTCTATTTTTAAACATTTAAACTATTTAATAGCAAATCATAATCATATGTAAATGGGTTTCTAAAATGCGTTTCTAACCAAATGGAAATTGCCTACTAATCGCTGTTGACATTCAAAACTCGAGAAGTTGCCTTGACTCATATTCCCTAATCGAAAAAGTTAACTCAGAATTACTTTGGCTTGTGCGCAGTTTTCAGCTTGAATAAGTTTAAAAACAAGGGGAAGCCATTAAATTATAAGCTTTTTTCTGGTCCAAGCAGAAACTAAAAACCTCAAGATAGTACAAATAAGAGCTGGGCTGAAAAAATCCAATTATTTACGAGTAGATGGCATGCGGATTTTCGGGTCGGAAAAGTTGGACGTCATCTGGATATCTTTGGCGGTTTCCATTGAAAATATTTGTATCTCTTTGTTCACTTTTTAGGGGATTTGGGGAAGTGGATGGGGTGGGAATGGGAAATGGGGTTCTATCGAGTGGCTGGGGTGCTTTTTGGGAGGGGATTTACACATTGATTGTTTGATCGTTAGGCAATTGTTTGGTTTGCTTGAGTTTTAACTTGACTTTGATGCTAGCTGAGCTCTCTGGGTAAGATCTTATCGGTCTCATATCAATATATATAAACTTTTTATACATTTATGTATCTATTTTGTGTAGTGGTGTGATAAAACCTTTAAACATTTATCGTTATCATGCTGACTGCTGTGTAAGAATCTATAAAATGCTTAGATGTTGCGTATATAAATTTCCTCAACTCACAATGACAATTCGCACTTATCGCATAGATATAGATGTTTCTTATGGATTCGCCGATCCGATTGCGGTTACACAAATATTAGGCATCTATTCAGAACTAACATAGGAACAATCAGGATAGTTTTTCACATCGAAACGGAGTTGGAAATGGTTCTATTATGCCCTTCGGCTCTGTAAAGTTGCTTATCGTTTTATTATTTTACTTTGTGTGTCGCAATATCTGGGTGTTTGTGAAATCGCAGCACAAATGCAGCTGCATTTATTTATATTTATATGCATATGTACTATATGCGCATTTTCCTTTGTTTCGATCTCCTAGCAAAGCGCGTTTTATTTTTCAATTTTATTTTTTGTTCTTTTTTGTGGTTTCTCGCTTAGATGTCGTGCTGAAAACAAAAACATGTGAGAACCTCGGTAGTGGAATTTTTCGGAGCACATGTTGCTCGACTCTTCTGGAATGTGGAGGGGGTTATAGTATGGGGGATTTGCCGATTAGCTCTGGAATTGAAATTGCCAACGAAAAACTGTACGTGATAACGCAAATAAAAACACAAATTTGAGGATTTTTTTGGTTAATTATACAAAGCTTTAATAAATTACTTTACGAAAGCCATGTACAATTGTTTATTTGTTTTTTTCTATTGTTTTGTTGTTGTTTGGTTTGTGGGGTTTTTTCTTCTTTTTTCTCAAATTTTAAAAGTTGACTTGGATTTAACACATTTCCAATATTGCTTTACAATTCTCAGATTTTTATTCACAATCGTTTCTATAATTACAATATTGAATGGCGAGTTTGCTCTTCATATTCGCATTCATCTTAATGGTCCATTTAAGGTAATGGTGAGGGTATTTAATTAATCGTTTTCTCTTCAGTTGTATTTGTTGGTTTTAATTTGTATATATACCAGGTTTAAAAATATAGCAAAGTATCACAAAAAATTGCAAATTAAATTGTAAATTAGATCAATGGAGAAATTAAAAAAAAATACATAGTGCTGGTTGCTTTCTTTTCATTGTTTTTTTGAAACGACGAATCATGTTTCGGCTTAAATAAAAGAG